ACGTGGACGGTGAAGGCCCCCAGTAGAACAACTGAGTCCCCAGTCGGGGCCTTTTCCAGCACCCCTCCCAGGGACTTCAAGAAGGCCGGGTACTCTACACTGCCATTCGGCCCGTAGGCACAAACGGCAGTGAGAGACCTATCCCCGACCCGAAGGCGCAGGGAAGCGACCTTCTCGTTCACCAGGGTATATCATAGTATCAATACCAGTCAAATGTTTATTACAAATCCTGCCAGCTGAATATAGTTTGGTTTAAGCCCAAGTCTAAGAAGAATGAATCCAGTTCATTTGACAAAGACAAATCATTTGACTAAGAAGGTCCATATTTAAGAATCAGCTACCACAACAGTCAGTACACCCCTAACTGGTGAGATGACATTCTTTTATTTTATCTTATCTTTTTATTTATTTATTTTATTTATTTATATTTTAATGGCAGATTCAGTATTCCTGGGCATGGATGATAGCAGTGTTGTAAAGAGTAATTGTTTTCATTCAGTTTTTGGGTATGCAAACTTGCATTCATAGTTCCATCTGTAATGCCATCTCCCCCACACCTTTTGTACTCATGCAGCCCTATGTCAGCACACTCCCTCCTCTGTGCTTCATGGTGGGTGCTGTGCAGTCACTGTGGTCGTCCTGGCCAGGTCCACGGCAAACACGCGGGACCCCATCTGATCCCAACTCATTTATTTTGGTTTCATCTGATGTGCTAGTATTCATCAGGCTTCTTTTTAGGTTCTTTGGCAAAGTTACCTTGCAGTTGAACACCTCTGTATCTACTGGGCTTGAACCACAGACACTACTCTTAAGTCGGCTTTTATCTTGTAAATGTAGAAACTGGAAGTGACACTAAAATGATTTAACTTTCCCTAAAATGCTTTTTGATTGCCCCAAAGCTGAACAATAGCTAGTCCTCTCTGCAGCCTCTCTCAGATCTAGTTAGCATAACTGCACTTGCTGACATGACTGAGCAGCATTTTGATAAATGGCACGATTAGAGGTAAAAGTAACAATTTGACTTGGGCCATGCCATGAAAGCACAAAGGCTTTATCCTCTGTGTCAGACGGGTGAATCAAGTCCATCTGTCATGTCTGAAATCCAGCTGTGTCAGAAGGAGCTCAGTGTAAGTTGTCTTTGACATGTGTTCACTGTTGGGATATTATTGACAGCCACATCTTCACTGTGACTGCGAGTAATGGATGCTTATTGTAGTGCAGCTTGTAACTGCATGGTTAGAGTGATATGTCAATGGAGGAAAAGACTGATGGCTTGATTTATGCTGCTGTAGGTGAATGATTTAATTGTTTAAAAAAGGCAATTAAATAATATGTTTGAAATTGTTTAATTTTGTGGCAATTGTGCAAATAAATAAATAAATCTTGTGCCATAAGATCTTGTGATATTGACAGTGACGATATTTATCGTTGAGTTGAAAAGCTCTCTTGCGATGTCAGTACATAGCAGAACCAGAGCAGCAGCCAGCATGATGGAGTGTGAAAATGAAATTGGCACAGCAGATGCCCCTGCCACTTTTTTATGTTCAATTTGTGAGAAGGAGTTTAGTTAGTTTAGTTACAAGGTCACAGAAGTGCATAGTTCATGCACAGTTATAATGTGAACTCATACAGGAGAGAAGCCAGTGGGTTGTTTGTGGCAAAACCTTTTATAGTACCTGCATATAGTTGTCTTTTACTGTATAGGATAATTCATACTCACAAAGTAGAACTGAAGTGATATTCATTACAAGATGATTAGTAAAAATGTTTCAAAATGCACCTGCATTATTTTGCACTTTGTGACTGCCAGTCGAATAAAACTATTTTTCCAGTCATATTTTGTCATTGAAGATTTCTTCAATAGTGTTAAACTATCATCTTGTCTCATTCTCTTGAACCCGATATTGTGTATCATTTCATTTCGTGAGCTAAGTGTATCATCACACCCTCAGTAAAAGTGCAGTTTCGAATAATTCAGCATTTTAGAGATGGTGCTCATTTTTGCTGTATACAGCGTGTAAACGGAGGTTGTAGAGATTATTATAAGAGACTGACTGAGAAGTGGAAATGTAGAATGCAGCAGTAGTGAAAATGCAAGATGTAGAGGATGACGCAGCTCTGTTGCTGTAAACGTTATGTTTAATATGTGTATTGTCCGCTGTGTCTCACAGAAAGACCCCGGTTTCGACAGAGGACAGTTCCACAAACAAGTAGCCGTAATGAGAGGACAGGTAAGGTTTTTTTTTCTCTCCCCTTACAATACACTTTTTTTAAATTCTAGACAGGTTTGTTCAAACAGCTAAATCAAAAGCTGTTACAGCATTTAAATAAGATATATGGACGACTGGCATACAGTAGGGGAAGTCGTGATTCACAGCATTTAAATCAGATATATGGACGACTGGCATACAGTAGGGGAAGTCATGATTCAGAGGGGTTTTGACCACTTAGTTTTTTTTTTGTAGTGTCAAATCACAACAAAAATAGGTACTTTGTGTTGTAAGGTCAAGACTTTACAGTATTCTTGAGCAAAACACAACAAATACCCTTTCAACAAGAAAGAATGATAAAACCTGAGAGCCTCCTCTTGAAAACAGGAGCATAGCTCGTGAATGTGTACAACTCTTGCTGCCAATGTTCTGTTGAAATCTGTTTCCCCTAACCTGAATCCTAACATTATCCTAACCACAACCACAGAGGGGGATGCTACATGAAACAAAGTTTTTAGTTTTATGCATCTCAATGGGGGAAAACATTTTGACATAAAACTGGTCAGGAAGCCAGGACAAAACAAACAAATAAGATACATTTTCGACAATGACAATACCTCAAATCCTACCTGGCATGTTCGAGCCAGAATATGAAAGTGGACAGCATGACGAACCGCAACAGCATTCATTGACATGAATTTCTCTTCTATAGATTGGTAAACACCATTATAGGTACAGATGAAAAGAGATGTGTAACACTCTAAACAAAGCAGGTAATTGAAAAACCCCATATTTTAACTGGCATAATGCAGACATAGTGACTAACATCAATTCTCTACAGAAACAAAGCATTAACAGACATGCAACGTGTGTGGTGTGTGTTTTCTTTCTTTTTTTTTTTTTTTAAACTTACTGTTATGTTCCACTGAGTAGTGGAAACTTCAAAGTCAGTAAATCCAACTGTTGATGGCTGCTTCTTCCCCCACAGGACCACATATATTCCGAAAGTAATGAAATTAATGCCAACAGGTAGGGATGTACCAACAATAACATCATGGATCGTTAGAATCCTCTCACCAACTCACAACGCATCACATGCGGCAGACACACTGACCTCAAGCAGTCAAAACAAACAGGTACTGTGTTCCAGGGAAATCCAGACTTGATGAGCTGATGACTAACCACGGGGGGCTTCACAGGCTAGCTGTTTATAGATTAGACCTGGTCAGGTAAAACAGCCAGTGTCAGTACAGGAACACTCCCGGACAGGCAGTAACCTCAGGCCCTGTATTTTTCTCCACATCCTCTGGTCACAGTTCAGCAGCAGGAGGGAAAGTGTATCCACAAAACCACACGCAGTCAAAGAGGTCTCGCTTTTAAAATGGCACCAGTTAGATGAACACACACTGCTGGTCTATATGAGCATTCAAGGAAATCGGTGAACTCATAGTTGTAACACTGTAGACAAGTCAGAAAACACAGAAAAGCATGCCATGGGCAGTTTAAAGTGTAAATCCACCAAAGGTATATTTCTTTTATTTATCTTTAGGTCCTGAACCTGTGCCAAGCCCTAAAGGATGGTAAAACACCCCTCCAATTGGTCCAGATGCCCCCAGTAATTGTCGAAACAGCTAGAGCACCTCAGAGAGCCAATGAGTCCTACACACAGAGTTTCCAGAGCAGAAAGCCCTTCTTCACCAGGTGGTAGGAACAGAACAACAAAGAGAAAGAGGAAAAAGGAGGAACAGCAGGAAGCCAGAGTGAGATGTGCTGTTGGATGAAAGGTCTGAATCTGAGAGTGCAGGCTTTTGTCCTGGAAATGGTAGTTATCATCACCCTCCCCTCTGTGGACATTTTGGTAACAGAATGTGAGTGAGTGGGTGGGTGGAGCAAGATGAAGCCAAAAGAGGAAGAATTTCACAACTTGTCTTCCTGGTTTGCCTCTGCACCATGTGTGGATGTCAGTGAAGACGTAATTCCTAAATGATGAACCTCTGTACCTTCCTGATAAGAGAAACATTTCAGTGAGATGTCAGATTTTTCTGTTGGACCCCAGGGTGCATTTAATGTTTGCTCACACACTTGCACGCCAGTCAAAAATCTCTCATGCTTTTGTTTTTGAATGAGAGGAGGTGCATTCCTTTTTTTTGTCTTCATACCTCTGCCTTTTAATATTCACCTGCACTTTCATTCTCACGCAGTTTAAAGTCCTGGGTTGGTGAGGCACTGGTGCCACTACTGAAGAGCAGCATTTCTTTACAGTTACGAGAAGTGCTCATGCTGGTTATATCTTAAAGATTTAGGAACTGGGCACTCAGTGGTGTCTTCACACCGTGAACACAAGTCAGCGTGACTTGTTGCTCCTCCTAAATGTTTGGGTTAGGATCTGCAAGTCTGTTGGAAAGCAGAAGCACTTTTGGTTAAGGCAACAAACTGATCAGATTAGTATGACTGGCTCACCTAATTTGTCTCCCACTGATGAATTAAGTCATTAGTGAAGAAGACAAACTGATCCAATGTGCAATCAGGTGGAGGAGGAGGGGGTGGTGTTTCCCAGTCCACAAGCTCCTGACAGTAAACGGTAAAGTAACTTCCTGCTGTGCTGAACTGAAATGAAATGTATTGTGACAATACACTGTATAAATTGTATGTAATATTTAATGATGGATTATAATTAAAACATATTCCACTGTAGACCACTTGTGTTTCTCAATGAATTTACAGACACACTGATATTACACCTTTAATGCTTTACTGTATTCAGTCACTGTACACTGGTTATATTAGTTTTTCCCAAAAAGGTTTTTAATGAAACACTGCAGGCAATATGTTATAGCTTTACCATGATATGCTAATGATTAAATGAATCCTGCACTTAAAGCTGCTAATAATATTTTGACATTAACAATCAATTAACTATATGGCATGGGGAGGGAGTTGGAGAGCTGAAACAACAATGATCATCCAGCTCAACAACTCAGTTGAGCGTTTCAGTGTCATTTTAGCTCATTATCATTAGCTCACTGTATTGGTTTTATGTCTAGTAACTTGACTGGTTTTGGTTAATTCTCATTAATCTCACCAGTGTTGCTCCCAGCAGCAGGCAGCTGTTTTCAGTGTAAGACAAATTCACTGCTCAGCACAAAATGGCAGCAATAAAGTTAACTAAAGAGCCAAATATATTTCCCACAGGGGTTAGTGGAGGCAAATAACAGAGCTAAACATTCTAGTTGCATACACTGTGTGGACACAATCATGAGTCCAACTGAATGCTAATGTCCCCTACCTGCTATACAGTATGTGTACATCAATTACGATTAGCTAATGAGTTTATACAAATATCAGAATCTGCTTTAGCTTTAGTGGCCAGGTGTGTCGGATGCATGAGGAATTTGACTGGTACATTGGTTCTCAATGTGTATGTACATATCCTCATGCAAGGGGCAGGTAGGTTGGGGGCTCTTCCTGAAGTCCACTGTCATCTCCACATCCAATCATCAGCAAGGACTGCGCCCACTCCGCGCAGCCGCAAGCCTTTTGAATATCCAGAGCGACCTGCGCGGTTGTTTGTTGTAGTGATGGGAAGTTCGGCTCTTTTCAGAGAGCCGGCTCTTTTGGCTCAGCTCCCAAAGAAGAACCGGCTCTTTCGACTCCTGAACGGCTCTTAATTTAGGATTTTTTTGTAAGCCTTTATTTTACCATAACTTTGCAAAAATTAATGGTTTGTGTGTTGAAAACCCTTTCATGTGCAGTGTTTTTATGAGAAGCCTTATAATTACAAAATGGCAGCAATAAAGTTAACTAAAGAGCCAAATATATTTCCCACAGGGGTTATTGGAGGCAAATAACAGAGCTAAATATTCTAGTTGCATACACTGTGTGGACACAATCATGAGTCCAACTGAATGCTAATGTCCCCTACCTGCTATACAGTATGTGTACATCAATTACGATTAGCTAATGAGTTTATACAAATATCAGAATCTGCTTTAGCTTTAGTGGCCAGGTGTGTCGGATGCATGAGGAATTTGACTGGTACATTGGTTCTCAATGTGTATGTACATATCCTCATGCAAGGGGCAGGTAGGTTGGGGGCTCTTCCTGAAGTCCACTGTCATCTCCACATCCAATCATCAGCAAGGACTGCGCCCACTCCGCGCAGCCGCAAGCCTTTTGAATATCCAGAGCGACCGGCGCGGTTGTTTGTTGAGTTTGTGGCAAGCAGCAGGTATGTCTCTATGTCAGTCGTTGTAACCTCATATTTGTGAAACCTTTTTCTGTAACCTCAGCCCGAGAGTCGGATTTTCTTCTGCGTTAATTCAGATACCTTAGTTTGGCGCCAGGAAGTTAGCAAACATTTCCAGAGGCTAAAGCAAGCCCAGTAAAAAGTGCATTCAACTTAAGGTTGTGTTGTGCTCGCAGAAAAACGGAGCTCTGAGTGTTTGATAAGGCCCAGAGCATTTCTTTAAGAAAACAGTTTTGTTTTAATTACTTTTTAAAAAACCTCAATCTGTTGCCTCTTCTTGCTATAGGTGTGTGACATCGGACGCGGGAAAACGCACAACCAACCTTGTTTATGGCTGCATTGCTCGACTTAATGTCAGTTTGTAGGCTTTAGCGAAAATCTACAGCGTTAAAGGACGTCGGGAAAATGATAAGACATCGGGTGGACCAACTCTGGATTTACATGGATCAAAAAAAAAGGTGAGTGATAGCCTGGAAGTTGGATAATGTAGCCACACTTTGTTTTAAGCTAATGTCTGGTGTGCTGCTTCGGGTTTAGCTCCTTAACTTCATATCTTAAGCTGGTTATTAAGGGCAAGGTGTTTGACTTCACTGCACCATGAGTAGGTCATCTGTCAACTCAGACCTGTGTAGTAAACAGTGTCCTGCTTTCATATTTATCTGAAGGTTCATATATTTCAACAAGTAGATGGTCAGAGGAACACACAAGTGCCTGTTCACAGGCCTAATGTTAGAGTAGGCAAGAAGAAAATGCTTTTTGTCTGAACATTCTGGGCCTTAAATGAACTGTTGAGTAGAAAGCAGGAGCACATAGTGGCTGGCTGTGATGGATCAGTTCAATGACAAACTATTTATTCTATAAGGTCTTTAATGCTTAAATTGAATAATTCTTTAATTGGATAATTTAAGTCTAATTTAATAATCCATTTCAATTTAAAGGGCCTTTATTGGCCTGAAAGTTTTGACAATGTTGCTAAAATTACAACGTACTTGGTTATTTGTAAAGTGTAATAATTGTGTGCACAATTATTAGGCAAGTTGTATTTTTAAGGATGAATTTTTTTTATGGAACAACTACAATCAATCATTTTGGTCAATCCAAAATGTTAATAAATCTAAAACCTGAATATTTCCTAAAGAAAAAGTTGGGTTTTGGTAACTCTGCAGAATTATTATGCAACTAAATGAAAAACAAACATTTTCCCATCTCATTTGTTTATTTTCATCTGTTAAAGTGAGAATAATAGTGTACAAAATGTACAAATAAACATTTCTGACATTAAAATAAAAAAAAAAAAATTTGTGACCAATACAGCAACCCTTCTTCTCAATAACAGTCATTAAACAATCAACTTTTTGTGCAGCAAGCACAGCCTCTGACGCACTGTTCAGAGAGGTGTACTGTTTTCCTTCACCACAAATATTCAGTTTAAGAAGGGCCAACAAGTTCTCAATAGGGGTTAGGTCAGGTGAGGAAGCGGGGCCATGTCATTATTCTTTCAGCCCTTTACTGTCTAGTTATGCATTGGAGTACTTTGATGCATGCGATGGAGCATTGTCCTGCATAAAAATCATGGTCTTCTTGAAAGATGCAGACTTTTTCCTGTACTACTGTATAAAGAAAGTATCCTCTAAAAATTGGCAGTAGGTTTGGGAGTTGATTTTGAGTCAATTTTTAACCTGAAAAGGTCCAGCTAGCTAATCTTTAATGATACCAGCCCATACCAGTACCCTGCCTCCACCTTGCTGGCGTCTGATTCAAAGTGGAGCTCTGTCCGTCTGGTTTGTCAAGAGTCACTCTCATCTCATCAGTCCACAAAACCTTTGAAAAATCTGTCTTCAGATATTTCTTGGTCCTGTCTTGACGTTTCAGCTTATGTCTTGTTCAGTGGTGGTCAGTTTTCAGCCTTCCTTATCTTTGCCATGTCTCTGAGCATTGAACACCTTGTACTTATGGGCACTCTAGGTAGGTTGCAGTTCTGGAATATGACAGCACTGGCGGCTAATGGGTTCCTGGTAGCTTCACGTTTGATTTTTCTCAAATCGTTGGCAGTCAATTTGCATCTTTTTTTTTTTTTTCTTTCTCAGCATGTTTTTTGTGACCCTGCTGACTGTTTGCAACAAAACGTTTGATGGCTCTATGTCCAATATCTTACCAATTTCAAGAGTGCTGCCTCCCTCTGAAAGACGTTTTACAATTTCTGACTTTTTAGTCAGTTAAGTCTTTGGCCCATTTTGCATAAGCAAAAGAAGCTGCCTAATAATTATGCACACCTTGATATAGGGTGTTAATCTCCTTAGGCCATACCATCCCTCATTACACATCATCTAATGTGTTTAAATCCAATAAGCATTCAAGTTTATATAGCTTGGAGTTGGAAAATATGCATAAAAATGATATGGTCAAAATACTCACTTCCCTAATAATTGTGCACACAGTGTATACAAAGTGTGCGTCGTGTGTCTGTCATTCACCGTCCACCATGTTGTGGTATATTGATAGATAATGGGCAACAAGAAAGGCCCTTCTAATTCTTTGAATCCTGACACTACAGAGTAAAAAATTTCAAAACAAAGGTTTTTCCTTTTTTTAATGCTGTAGGAGGAAGTGTATCTCTTTGTTACAATGAATTTGTTTCTTGCTCCATGACGTGGCCTGTAGATTTGGAGTCATTTGAGTCAAACTAATTTTATTTATTTTTCTCTTTTCAGGTAGATCTACAAACTGTAAGTCAATTATTTTTTATTTTATTGTGGGTTCCCTTGTCAGATCTGCCCCTGCGCCTGCACTAGTTGATTCATTCAAATCTGAAGACATTTTTGATGCAGGGACACCCCCCCCCCTGCATTTGGGTTACACTCGAGCTGTTCGGGTCAAAATGGCCCAGCAATACTAAAGGCCACTTCGCCTGAGCAGTGCGTCAGCGAGGCGCCTCTGAGGAATGGCACAGCCGGTCACAGGTTGGTAATTCATATGAAAATTCTGAGTTGCAGAGAATGTTTTCACTTGGCGCTGTCAATATGGCCATGCCATTTGCATCTCCATGGTCACCTTCACATGCCTCTGCTACAATGGAAACGCTACGCCCCCAAAGGTGTTGGCCACAGAGAATAAAAGCAGGACAGCTGGATGCCTTCTTCCTTTTTGTACTCGACGCTGAACCAGCAACTATGGCACGCGGAATTTCCACCGACATGGCCCTGAAGATGATCTTCGAGGAAGGTGAATTTTCTGATCTGGATGAAGATGAAAGAAATTGAGGACCACATCTCCCAGGTTTCTGAAAGCGCAAGTGACTTTGATGATGATATCTTGGACCAAGATTTCGTTCCAAGTACTGTGGTAAGACTTAGATTCCAATGCAATACGCCGTTTGTTTGATAAAAAAACCCTCTTTGCTTCAGTTAGAGCTTGCTCATTTGTAACTTTTGCTATCATTACTGTGTTTTTGGCCATCCTCAGGCAAAGGAAGGCCGCGCACAATCCCGGTTGCGCACGGAGCGGCCCAGCAGGGTGAAGTAAGTATAAGCTTCTCTTTCTCTATGAAGCCTCTTCCGGCTCTTTTAAACCAGGAACTCACAGCAGTAGACTGCTTTAGATTTTATAAAAAATAACCGTGCTGGTCGTTGCGCACGGAGCGCCAGCGGCCCAGCAGGGTGAAGTAAGTACAGTGCCTTGCGAAAGTATTCGGCCCCCTTGAACTTTGCGACATTTTGCCACATTTCAGGCTTATTATTATTTCAGGCTTATTATAATTTATTGGATATTTCAAACTTTTTTAACAAATAAAAAACTGAAAAATTGGGCGTGCAAAATTATTCAGCCCCTTTACTTTCAGTGCAGCAAACTCTCTCCAAAAGTTCAGTGAGGATCTCTGAATGATCCAATGTTGACCTAAATGACTAATGATGATAAATAGAATCCACCTGTGTGTAATCAAGTCTCCGTATAAATGCACCTGCACTGTGATAGTCTCAGAGGTTGCCTCATTTTGTGTGAAGAACACAAATCCCCCCCCAGTGCATTTAGGTTACACTCGAGCTGTTTGGGTCAAAAAAGACCAGCAATACTAAAGGCCACTTTGCCTCTCACTAAACCCTTTAAAGCCAGCCGCTTGAGTGCCAATTGACACACAAACACCCCTAAACAACTCCAGACACACACACACACACACACACACACTCCCACCAGCTCAACCAGACAAGCAGGGGCGGGCGCACTTGGTCAGATGGCAACTTACTGTTGGTGTGACCAATGTGCCATGTTTACAACCTATTGGTGGCTCTCCTTGTCAGTTATGAGGGTTTTATGATCACCTTGAAAGACGACACCCACCCTTGTTGCCGGGCAGACAGAATATTTAGAGCTAGAGACCAGTCGACCCCTTGCACACGATCCACAGTATGGATAGCAAGCGCGTTAGGCACATTAGTTGTCAGACGGCCCTGGAAATGATTTTTAGGCGAGAGAAGATTCTGAAATTGATGCAGACGAATACATTTCATAATTGGAGGACAACATTACTCTCGGGTGAGCCAAAATAACGCGGAAAACGAGCGGAGCAGTGTGTAAGCGAGGCGCGTCTCTGAAATGGCACAGCCGGTCACAGGTTGGTAATTCATATGAAAAGAAAGAGTAATTTCAGCTCATCCTGAGTTGCATAATGTTTTCACCTGGCGCATTCAGTATGGCCATGCCATTTGCATCTCCGTGGTCCTGCAACAATGACAGAGTAACTACAGCTCATCTTGAGTTGCATAATGGTTTCACCTGGTGCAGTCACTATGGCCATGCAGTTTGCATCTCCATGGTCACCTTCACAGCCCTCTGCTACAATGGGAAGGCTACGCCCCCCAAGGTGTTGGCCAGAGAGAATAAAAGCAGGACAGCTGGATGCTTTCTTCCTTTTTCTACTGTACGCTGAACCAGCAAGTATGTCACGCAGAGTCTCCACCGAGATGGCCCTCAAGTTGATTTTCGAGGAGAACGAATTTTCCGATCATCAAGACGACGAGGAGATTTCCGAAACGGAGGACCATATCTCAGAGGTTTCGGAAAGCCCCAGCGACCTGGATGAAGATGATGTCTTGGACTGTGATTACGTTCCAAGTACTGAGGTAAGACTTAGATTCCAATGCAATATGGCGTTTGTTTGATAAAAAACGCTCTTTGTTTTAGTTAGAGCTTGCTCATTTGTAACTTTTGCTATCATTACTGTATTTTCAGCCATCCTCAAGCGGGAAAAGAAAAACAAAACACATTGTTTCTGTGGAGCGCGTGGCTGAAAGCGCGGAGCAGCAGGGAGAAGTAAGTTATAACAATGCAATATACAGTCTGTTTGCTAAAATGTGCTGTGTTTGAGAACTTATTGTGATTTATTATTTTGAAACAATTACAGGCTGAGCCTGCTCCAGGACCGTCATTTGAGGAAAGAGCAGGAGACGTGTTCATGGTGAAATCCAGGGACATTTCATGGTCTTCTCACCCCTCCAAGCTGCCAATCCGAATTGCAGCCAACGTTAACAACATGGAACCAGGGCCAACGAGAATGGCAATCAGCCATGTGTCGGACATAAAGTCAGCGTTCCACCAGCTAATGCCAGACTCAGTCCTGAACATTATCCTGGACTGCACTAACGCAGAAGGGTGACGGGTTTATGGAGAGCGGTGGAAGGTTATGGACATGATCCTCCTCTATGCCTACCTTGGTCTGCTCTACCTGTGGTCTGCAGAAAACGGCAGGGCCATCTTCCGGGCAACAATGTCGTTGGACAGGTTCCAGGTGATTTCCAGGGTTATCAGGTTTGATAACCAGGAAGACAGAGCAGCTCAACGGCAGACGGACAAACTGGCAGCCATCAGGACAGTGTGGGACAAGTGGGTGCACCGCCTCCCCGGGCCTAATGTCACCATAGATGAGCAGCTGATGCCATTTCGGGGCCGCTGCCCATTCAGGCAGTATATGCCATCCAAACCGGCTCGGTATGGCATCAAGATCTGGGCTGCAATGCTGCCATGTCATATGCCTGGAACCTGCAGGTCTACACGGGGAAACCTGAAGGAGGAGTCCCAGAGCGTAATCAAGCGATGAGAGTTGTCCTGGACTTGTCTCAGAATCTCAAGGGACACAACATTACCTGTGACAATTTCTTCACGTCGTACCAGCTTGGACAGGAGCTCCTGAAGAGGAAGCTGACCATGGTGGGAACAATCCGCAAGAACAAGCCAGAGCTCCCACCAGAACTCCTGCAGACCAAGGACAGGCATATCAATTCCTCCAGGTTCATGTTCACCAACGACACGACCATGGTCTCCTACGTGCCAAGACAAGGGAAGAATGTTCTGTTCTTGAGCACACTGCACCGGGAGGGGACAATCTGTGGCCAAAAAACACAGATTGTCCTGGACTACAATGCCACCACAGGAGGGGTGGACAACCTGGACAAGCTGGTGACGGCATACAGCTGCAAGAGGAGGACACTACGCTGGCCACTGGTGCTCTTCTTTGATATGCTGGACATCTCGGTGTACAACGCTTTTGTGGTGTGGACGGCAGTCAACCTGGGCTGGAACCAGAAGAAGCTCCAGAGAAGACGCTTCTTCATGGAGGAACTGGGTAAGGCCCTGGTGACACCGTTCATGCAGACAAGACAGTATGTACCAAGAACACCAGCCTTTGCAGCTCTCGTGAGGAGGATTCGGGGGGAGGATGCAGCTGGCCCATCCACCAGACCTACAGGTCCACAACCACCACAGCCTCAGGTAAGTGTGTAATGCTGTGGCATAAAACTGTATGTGTGACACTCATGCTTTGGGAGAGAGAGAGAGGCTAAGTGAAAATTCTAATTTCGTATCTTTTCATTTTTCTAGGTTACTCCCGGAGGCAGGAAGAGATGTGCAGTGTGTGGACCCAAGACCGAGAGGAAGACACCACACACATGCGCCAAGTGCAAAAGATACATCTGCAATGAGCACACACACAGACACCGACCTGATTGCAGCGCATAGGATTGCTGCATTCAGTGGGGGCTGGCTGTGTGTGTGTGTGTGTGTGTGTGTAAATGTGTAAATATGTACATACTGGCTGTTCAGCTTGTGTTTTTTTGGCAAAGTTTGCCAAATGTGGAAATGAGTGTGGGTCAAATAAAAATGACCTGGTGTGAAAAGTCTTGCATCATTTGTGAATTTATTATTTTTTCGTTTAGCCAAATATGACAAAAACATAGGTAAAGGGCAAATTTTTACATTTGTTGATTATTAGTAGGTTTTTACATTGTTTCAGAATAAGACATCTTTGATTATGTGGACTGACAAAGCCATAAAGATGCTCTTAAAGTCTCTCAGGCAATCCAGGGGTCTGTAATGGGTTGCTCTTCTTGACATTCAACAGGAAAGGCCCTTCCTCCATCTCCTAGGAGTATTTTTAATTGAGATCTAATTCTTTGAATCCTGACACTATAGAGTAAAACATTTCAATATAAATGTCTTTCCTTTTTATAACACTGAAGGAGTAAGTGTATCTCTGTCTGTTACAATGAGTTTGTTTCCTATTCCATGACATGTGGCCTGTAGATTTGGAATCATAAGTCAGTTATTTTTACTTTATTGTGGGTTCCCTCGTCAGACCCCCCCACCCCAGTCCCCATGCCTGCACTAGTTTATTCATTAGAGAGGTCTTGTTGAAGTTCTGTTCTGTACTCAAGTCCTGAGTTTACTGTGACATCTGAGCTCAAGTGTTTAGTTCAGGTGTTTTTGCCGGCCCTCCATGCCCAACTCTCTTTCCAACATGGCTGCTCTGCCATGACTATTTAGATTTTTGTGTCCGATCGAAAGTGGCCATCTGTCAATAAATTTGTGTAATAGGCATAGATCTAGGCTGCCAGGCACATAGAACTCCTACGGGCTTTATCCTGGGAGTTTTAACTGCAGTGCCGGTGTATCCCTATCGCTTGCTCCTGTGCTGTCCGTTTATCGCCATTTGAATTTCGATGATGTTGACCTATGAAAGGTATGTGGTTTTTATTTCTTCTCTAACCTGGTTGGATCTCCTATAGGTGGCTGCCACAACACATTGATTTTCTTACATTGCCGTGAAGATATTTCATCGTCATGCGTGAATTTGCCTGTCCTCTTTTCTAGCTCCATATATTCCTACACAGTGTACACGGACGGTGTTTTCTAAACTAACACGTAAATTAGTGACAGAGTAGAGAACAAACATGAGAAACAGTTGTAGTGTCAAATCAGCGATAGTTAACACTGCTGCAGTATGTTGCTTTTTGGGAACATTACAGGTTGTGTTTCTCGCTAAATCAGTGCAGAGCGACAACCAGTTCTAGGGTTGAGGAAGCCAGGGCTTCTCCACACTACAGAGAACTAGGTCAAATGAGTTGACTCGCATCGCAAGAGGGAAGGCTTTTCTCCTTCCCCTTCTTTTCAGTGTGTGAAGGAGTCCAAGCTTTCAAGTTATTGGTAGTTTGGACAGTTCTGGAGTCGTGTAAACCTGTATATTTGCTGGAAAAGTGACTGAGGTAGTCAGAAGTGAATGTACCTAGAGAAATAAGGCAGAGTCAAGGCAAATACAGGCTAGATCATGGACCTCTACTGAGCTGGAGCTGTGTGCCATGGTTGTGCAGTTTCCAAAACCAGACAAGGATCCCTCTGGTTTTGTGAATCAGCTGACATGGTATCCCATTATGATTCTACTAAGAGACATACTGTTCAATTGATGTTCGCATCTTTAAGGGGTAGATTTGGTGAGACAGAGCCAGCTGTGACTATTGCAGTAGACCTAGCTGGATAAAGGTGTATAAAACTCAGTTAATGCATTGTGCTCTTAGGCTGGGAATAGTGGAGAGGGACCTCAGCACCTCTCACTTCCACTCATCTGTATTTGAGTTTTATATTTTTAAACTAACAAACCTGCATTTCTTGTTTTCAGTGAACACACTTAGTTCCAAGACCATGCTTCTGGTGACTAGATCTTTTTCCCCTCCTCTTTCTAAACTGACTGTACTGTTCCACAGCACCCTAGTAAAGTATCTGAAAGCACCAATCAGGGAGAATAAAGCCATTGTGAGCGACAGTGGACAGGCTATATTCTTTAAGTTAGAGAAAAGTACTTCCTGGTTGAAAAGTTGCAGTTTACCAAGCTGTTTCCTGTCCCACCAGAGAAGCCGACATGGCATGCTGGGACCCAGAAGTTGACGTTGTGAAGAAGACGACGACCCTCATTAACAATGATGCCTCTGCACCACGAGTTGTTGATCTCTTCATAGACATCAGGTATCCACCTCTGTCAACTTCATTAAATCTTTCTTTGTACTACTCATTGAGTGACACTTTTTTTTTATTTTTTTGACTGATGCCCAACCTTAGGAGACTGAAGCTGGAGAAAACAACATGGTGATGCAAACGGGGCCTTGAGGAGGCTGCTACAGATGTCCATACCAACCTGTTTGGTCCTGAGAGTTGAGACTGACTTGATGGGATCTTAAGAGACTATATCAGTGAAGGGAAGGTCACTGTTGTCACTGTTTTTTGAACTTTACCATAAGGGCTAGGTCACTTTTCCATCACTAAATGGTGGAAGTACCTGGGCAGGCTTAATGGTTAGATAAATGAGCTATTCACAAATGCATTGAGTTATATGTTGTGAGCCTATCTCAATAAGTGTTGTGCTGTTTTCAAAATCATCACCACCCAGATTTGAATACCTGTATTTTACTTTAGGGTTAAATTTCTGAGTGGTCTCGCTCTGCCAAGTTTCAAGGGGGGTGGACTTGTGCTTCAAGTAGGCCTGGTGAGGGAAGGTTTTGCGTTTCATATGCTTATTAGATTTTCCAGACACGGGAGGCCTCCCAGCAGGGGAATGTATCCCACCCCCGCAAAGTAGCATTGCTGATGTGGAGATACGTTTGGCAGTTTCATATGTAAATGACAGTTTCATACATAGGTGGGTTTGTTAAAGCTCTATTGCGCGTTAGCAATTGGCAGTGTGTTAGGGTTCTTGGGAGGGAGCAAGCCTGGCAGCGATGGATGACTCAGATGACTAAATAAGCTCTGGGACACTCACTTTGGGTGTATTTGCCTTATTTTCCATGATGGTGATGACTGTGAAAACTATCTGCCTGCCCACCGATATCCGGGGTCTGTCGCTAAAGGGAGTTTTTCCTCCCTGTTGTCGCCAAGTACTTGCTCAAGAGGGATGTGTTGGGGGTTTCTCTAGTGATAATGTTAAGATCTAGACCTTACTTTGTAAAATGTCCTGTGACTTTTATTTGGTGCTATAGAAATTAAATTCAAGTGTCCAGGTTGACAGCATGTATAATTTTATGTTAATGAAACAGATAGTTCTTCACCACATTTTGTGTGTAAAACCTTAATTCCTAAAAATTGTAACTGAAATAAATGTGTAGTGAGAACTACAGATATGAAGCTGAAGCATGTTTTTGCAGACTGATATTGGTGGAAGAGGGACAGGGTTTGATGCATAGGTCAGTGTTTCAGATTGCTGAGTCAAAAGTTGTTGTTGTTGTTGTTCAGGACTCTTCTCTTCAGCACCAAGGACAGCGCACATTTTTCACCAGATTCCCTTCAACAATCCAGCAGGTTAATTTTGCTTTTATTAGAACAAAAATAATATTCTATATCCTGTGTAACTCAAGCTGTGCTAACTTAAATGTAACATTGCAGCAGTAATACAATGTTGGATTTACTGTAATAAACATTCTTAAAATTAGGCTGCTGCTGAGTTGAGACCTTGGAGATAAGGTCTCCAGGTATTGTTTGGTGTTGTGTGTGTTTTTTTTTTTTTTTTGGTGAATGTAGTGTCCTTCCATATCCTTTATACAAACATCCTCTCAGGCTGCCTCAGTCTTTCTCCATACTGTAGCTGTTCCCTATTCATAATTGTTTGACCATAGTTTTTGTTTGTTAAACTCATTTTAGGCTGCTTGCAATACTTTTGAAAATCCATTTTATGTACTTCTCAATTTTCAAAAAAAATTCTTTTTTTCATGAAATTAGATAGCACTGTTTGCAACCATTTGCAATTCTGAAGTGTTCTGAAAATATTTGTGCTAAATGCTTTCATAAAAATGTCACCATGTACCCTTAAAGAATTGGTGCATATTCAAAAATAACGAGAGCTAACAAACTAGAAAAACATCCACTGAGACTAATCTTTCATTTGAAAAACTATATTATCAGCATTTTACTTCGATTAATTGTTCGATTATAGCCAAATGTCCCATGGTCTGACCACATTTCCTGCGGTGTATTTCACATGTCACAGTAGTCACAAATATATGTATTAGAAGTTTAACTGTAATATCTGACATATGCAAATTGATATAAGGTTATGAAAGACTATCCAAAATTATCAGTAGCCTACTCCCAACCAGAGAAAGTATGGGTAAAACTAATGTTAATTTTTTTTTTTTTTTTTTTTTTTTTTTTGCTTGGCAGCTGGAAAGGTAACAGCTGATTAATTAGCTACTTGTAAAGCCACACATAATGAACCACAAACTGGAGAGCATTACCTTTATTTGTCAAACTATTGCTGTTACATGCAGAAATGTGTCCAGAATGCGCTATGCTCGATTACAGTTGCCTGGCTGTGACTGAAACGAGAGAAATGCGCCTGTGCGGTGGGCCACACAGCGTGAAAAGGTGATATTCAGAGGTGTCTCTATATTTGTGTCCTCCCCAGCTACATAGAGAGGGTCAGAATATTAGGAACACCTGAATATAATGCAATCCAGTATAACACCACCTTTAATTGACTTCAATAATAAACATATAATTGAATTTATACATTTATGACAGTTTCACCAAAAACTGAAACATTCTGAGCTTCATAAATACATATGGCAGACGTGTTGCATTGAAGTGCATACAATTGTACAGGTGTTCCTAATAAAGTAGCCAGTCAGTGTACATCACACGTAATGGTCTATATTAACGTTGGACTATTCATTATGCATTTAATGAATAGCCTATAACATGTCTGATGCTCTTGTCACACAGTCCAAATAATGTTTGTTTTTGTAGGCATTTAACAAACAAGTAAACCTGAGGCAGGAACGGAAAGTGTGGATTACGATGTCTGTGCAGGGACTTCTATGGAGACAGGTGTGTCACCACCAGCCATCCATTGCACAATACAATTTCAAAGGAATTGGAGAGTTTATATGATTTGTGGTTTTATGAGTTACAAAATATGATGAGAATTTTTTTTAAACTCATGATTTGTTCATAGACAAATGGGCTGCTTGACAAATTAGTTATTATTGTTAAATGCATTAGAATGCAAGGTAATGTGCAATACAGGGCTAGACCTTTATGCCATAAAATATGTTGATAAGATTATCAACATGTTCATGTATGCTGAAAATAAATATTTTCATAAAGGTTATCTTGATTGGTGACTTTAAATTGCCCTTAGGAGTGAGTGTGGGTGCATGTGGTTGTTTGTCTACATGTCAGCTCTGATAGCCTGGTGACCTGTCCAGGGTGTACCCTGCTTCTTGCCCAGTGACAGCTGGGATGAATTAAAATCCTTATATTTTTATCTTTTCCAGTAGTTGTTGTAGTAGCAGCAGGTAGTGGAATATTGGGCTAAACAAACATTCAAGAAAATGTGTGATTTGAGTTCTGAGGGTCCTGTACCCAGTAGAGCTTTATGTCTAGCAATACCCCTGATAAGACCTCACTAATTTATGATGGAAAATTTACAAGCTACCCAGCTGTAATTAGAATTAAATGCATATAAGATAGTTAAAACTAGCTCCTCCTTTACCAGTATTTATAATCCAATAATAGGATATATGGGGATGTGAAATGTACCATTCTGCATAATGAGCACATTTACTTTTAGTACTTTAAGTATCTTTTGATCCTAATACTTATGTACTTTTACTTAACTGTTTGAAGGTAGGCCTTTTAGTTGTAACGGAGTATTTTTACACTGTTGTATTGCTACTTTTATTTAAGTAAAGGATATGAGAACATCTTCCACCACTAATACTGTAGATAGGAGCCGTTCTGATTGATATACACCCCAGTCCAGAAGGTGGCGATAATGCAACTACAGTCGTTTGCCAACTGGCATTAAACAGAAGAAGGAGAGGAGGCGGAAGAAGAAGAAGAAGAAGTACAAGGACGAAAGAAGGAAAAGGAAACCTAAATAACAGGCCAATTATCAGGTGTGTCACGACATCTACACGCACATTTTCCCCAGAGTCTTTAGTGGTTGTTTGTGTTTTTCAAGGATCTGCTACGGGCCTTTCTTACCTTTCAGAGCCAAACATGTCTCGGCTTTTCTCTGGGCTTCTGAGGCTTCACCGGGCTGTCGCGCCGAGATCAGGTGTAATGATTCAGCAACGGGCAGGTTATATCCAGAGCAAACCACCTAAAGCTCATGTTGGCGTTGCGGTAAGTTTGTAAAATAATCCTTAAGGTCATTCACTTCTTAACAGTGTCTGGAACATGTAGCTAAATGTAATGGGGTTTAGATTATTTCTGAATGATCTGGTGGTTAGCTAACATGACTGTCTTTGCAGGAGACCGCATTCGTGCTGACTGTGATGTCTGTGACCGTCCTCGTACCTTCTGGTTGGATACTCGCCAACTTGGAAAATTATAAATCCCATAACTGATGGATGGGTCGTGGAACATCGTTAACGCTTGCTAAGATTGTGTCATTTGAAGCGTTTAGTTGACGCAATAAACTTGAGTTTCCCAGTTTGACTTTGTCTTTCTTTTATTAATTTGTGTAATTCTGCCTTTACACCACCAGGTGTCACAAGCTGTCGGCGGAACGCGGAAGTGAAGCCTCTTGCTTGTAAACACTGAATAGCAACACGATATTCATAGCTGATATATTGTTAGCCTCGGGGAGTGTTTAATATCACAGTTGTGTTGCACAGAACTAATGTCTTTGAATGCACCATGAGGCCGCAGCTGACTAAAAAGCGCCCGTCTGTGACAAAACCAGCCAGATCAGAGGCTGCGCTGTCTTTGCAAGAGGAGCTCGTGGCAGCGATACATGGAGCGTTTGACGTGGCTGTGGAGATCGCAGTCCGAGACGTGAAAAAACTGCTTGCTCGGGCTGCAACAGGAGACAACTATGAAGAGATGCGACGAGAGAATGCGTCCCTCAAACAAAGACTGCAGAGAGCTGAAGCTCTGTTGGATTCTGCGCGCATGGAGGGAAGAGGTGGCAGCTCTCCTTCCAAGCAACTCTTCAATGCCACAAAACATAGAGGTCAACAGCTTCACAGTAGGTACAAACAAATAAGCCCAAATCCCAAAGTGGGCAGTGTGCACAGCGGTACAGGAGGCAGAGATGACGCACCTCCTGCAGCTGATACTGCACCGCAGGATCCAGGTCTCCAACACGTGAGCAAAGATGAGCAGAGTTCAGACGATGCTGTAAAAAGACAGTGTGGCAATGGGGCCGCTTCAGACCCAGAGAGAGAACTAAATAATGGCTGTAGTGAAGGTTTGTATCAGGTTTTATTTTCCGTTTGATCACTTTTCTCCCACCATACGTTGTATGTCAATATAAAGCAGAATATAACACAATGGGTCAGTATGCACAGAAAAACATCCTACTGTTTTCACATATTTTGTAGGTACCGTGTGAAACTAGTGATGGGCACCTGTTGGTGTCTGCTGTTATAACACGATTGCTCAAATGCAATCATTTTATTCATTTATTTTTAAATGCAACAGGTATTAACTATATGAATGAAATAGTTTTAGTGCGTTCATGAACAGCGCATATTTGTGCAGGTATTGTTAAAATTGAATTTGCCATAAAGTCCTCCAAACACTATGGTACAAAAACCAAAAAGGGTGAAAAGGCTTTTATCTGTTGATGCACACTCACAAGACTTAATATTTTAAATTAGCATGGGATGGTTAGGGTCAAATTCTGCACTTTTTACCCCTTAAGTTACTAAATAACATTTCTTATTTTGTTCACTTTAGAGGCCTTCACAGAAAATATGCTCAAGTATGTAATTCATAGTCAATTTAGATACATTTTTTATGTTCTGGTACATTGTGGATAATACTAAAAATGTAAACATTCTAGTGTTACCTTTAAACATTTTTGCTCAGTGTTTGTACCTTGTGATATTTTATTTACAGACGTTACTAAAGAGATTTCCTGTGTCTGTGTAGTGAAGGTAGAGAGCCAGCCAAGTCAAGACCACTACCCACTACCGCTTCCCAGCACTGACAACAAGCCCATATTAGAGCAGGTTACAGTAAAGCAGGAGGAGCTGGAAGAGGAGAGAGATGGTACACAGAGCACTTTGGACTTGATCAAAGTGGAGGATGTTAGTCTGGAGTGTATGTCTGATGTCCAGTCCAAACTGTTGGCCGAGTGGAAACCTAAAGTGCTGGATATTCAGAGCCAAGACCCAAACTCTGGAATGTCCTGTGCCAGGCTGGCTCAAGGTAAGAGGGAACACACACACATGTCCCAGTTATGGCAAAAGATCAGGTGGAGTTACCTATTCAGATCAATAATATTTAATTCTGAGGTACTTAGTGCTTCTCCCAATGGAGAGCCAGTGAAACAGCATTTAGACCACAGGAGACTAAAATGTTTGAGACCCAGGATGATGAATACAAGAAAATGGGCCTGTCAGTACCTCCACTTAATGTGCTTTAGAATCCCTTGTTTGTAAATTGATGGGTTTAATAATACATTTCATTCAGAATCAGTTTTACAGAAATGTGGAACAAAGGGTACTTTATCATTATGCATATCATGAATTTGATCAAATACTCATTCAGACTGAGGACTTACTACTGAAGGCCTCTGATGATCGGTTTCACAACCTACTTGCAATCAGCTTGCATCACATACAGTGGCTTCAGAAGTTATTTAGTTTTCAATTTGTAATAACTTTGCAAAAATGTCTAACATGTTTTTACTTTGTCATTATGGGTTACTCTGTGTAGACCGATGGGAAGACGGGCAGTTTTATCCATTGATAAACAAATGTACAGCACAAAGTACCTTAGTTTGTCATCTGGGCATCCAGTCTGGTTGCTACACAGCATCAAACCATCAAATCATTTGAAAACTTGCTTAATAATTATGATGCCTAAATCCAAAGTTACTATGTGTCAGCTGTATATTCTTATGGCTGCTGTAAGCCAACTTGTTATTAAAGATGTCCAGAAAAAGGTGGACACAAAAATTGAAACTCCACAACATCGGCTCTCAGTGTGTATGGGATATGTACATGCACATTGAGAGCCAGTGTACCAGAGTCAAATTCCTCATGCGTCTGACACACCTGGCCAATAAAGCAGATTCTGATTCTAATTTTTAATGACTGTTTTTAAACATCTTTAAAACTGTAATACTGTATGTTTAGTATTTATGATCATTTATGCTTCTCAGGTCTAAATGTGGATCAACTAGGTGTCGATTTTGTACTTTAAAAAGCTGAATTTAATGTCACTTTGTACATTTGGTGTCTGTTCTTCTAAATAATGTGTTTTTGAACGGCATTAAGATGGCATTAAGTTTTCAAATTTGCTACAGTTTAACGTCATATATGGTGTTTTTCTACAGCTCATCCTCCAAACATGACTACAGGTCTTTCACCGCACACAGACCTTCTATCCCTGTCCTCTGAGTTCCCCAGCCTCCAGGTGGCAGAACCAGCTTCCATTTCCGAAGCTCCTCCACAGGTGTATGGAGTCCGGACCAACCTCAGCCTCAGTCGTACCATTGCCAACACTTTTGCCTGCAAATCCTGCGGTCAGACCTTCCCCCTTCCCAGCCTGTTGCGGCGGCATTATGGTCAGTGCCAACAGAAGTTCCAGAATAGTTTTCAGCAGCCTCTAGTAGAAAGCAAGAAGACCAGATTGCAACTGTACCCACCGGGCTGCAGCCCCTTCCGCTGTAGAGAGTGTAACCGAGAGTTCAACCGCATGGAGAACCTCAAGACACACCTTCGTATCCACACAGGAGAGAGACCGTACACCTGCTCTGTTTGCTCCAAGTGCTTCCGTCACTCTGGGGCATTAACCAGACACTTCCGTATCCACACCGGAGAGAAGCCTTACGTCTGTGGACAGTGTGGGAAATCATTCAGAAACTGTGGGGGGCTCAAATTCCACCAGCGCTCACACAGCAAACAGCTGTAGAGTGAAGCTCAGCTGTGTTAAGGTCCACAGGATCAAGCATTTTTATGTGAGGTGTAAACAGCTGATTTTATGCAGTGCTCAATATGTTTAAATTTGATCATTTTATGTTAAAAAAAAAATACAATTTCAATGAGTTTTCCAGACTGTCTGAAAGTGGGAACGCTGTCTGGAAATCTCTGGACAGATATATGACATATCCTTGGTTAGTTACACCTCAAAAATGCTTCTTTTCACTGCTGTAAACTGACAAATATAAGTAGAATTGTAGTAGAGTTTTAATTTATGGTTACACACATTTAATATAAAAAGTGCAAACAACTTTCCCTAGCTATGACTAGTAAAAAGATATGTTACCAACACGTCAGAGCTTTTACATAAGCCAGGTGACCTTTCCACAACAGGATCTCTCCTGTCTGTTCTGTTGTCACACGATTCTACCAGTCTTCCTTTTGAGATTGCAGGTATTGTTTTTAAGAGCTCTAACTTAACAAGCAGCATCTCGATAAGTTATAAGAACAGTAAAGTCCATTCTACTGAAGTGGTGTTATTATGTTGCTGGAACAAATTTCAGCAGTTTTATTTCAGTGGTGATGTTCTTTAAAACGGTGTTTTCTCATTATTAGAAAAGGACCGAGTAGAAAGATAAAGAATAGCTATTGTAGGTGTGTGATAACTAAGTTAGCCATTTAGCTGTACAGTGTACTGTAGTATTTGATAGTTCAATAGTACTTAGTGAAGTGAAATGTGTGGAAACTTTCCGTATCATTCCAAGTGCCATTTTTCTTAATTGTTTTATGATGAATATTTAAGAAAATCACTGGCTGAGCCAATCCGTGTTTCTTATTCACAGGAATCTTGTTTTTATTAATTATCTATTTGTGTGCTCCATTTATCAAAATATGGATCTTATTTATAACAGACTATGAAAAAAAAGTAATTGGATTAATAAAAAGCAGGGAAATAGCTTATAAAGTTGACAATGTACATAAGCTTTGTTGTACTGCATAATATGTGACCATGGAAGCCCTTTAGGTTGAATTAGGTTGAATTGAATTTTTAATATTTAACAGTTTGGTTAGATATCCAAAGTACATCTACTCAAGTCACTCTTACCAGAAGATGCAACCAGGTCCAGGTAAGAGAAAGGCAACCCTGTATGTTCAACATCAAGCCAGAAATATTATCTTGGTGTATACATTCCCCAGTATATCACAGGAAATTCAGCTGGTTCCCACATCACCAGTCATCAACAATGCTTCCCGAAATCTGCACTGCCAGTGGTTGTTAGGAAACTGTTTCACTGGGATTTTTCTATAAGGGGCAGCTTTTATTTTGTTTAATTCAAGTGTCAGATAAGTGGTCTCATATCCACACCATAACAGTTTCAATATACTGCAAAGACTTTGGCAAACACAGTAAATTAAATACACTCAGACAATGACAAAATATAGATTTACTACAACACTTGTTTGGCTCACAGTCCTTGCTGAAACTCTCAGGCACGCACACACTAAACGCATCAGTGTTCAGGATAAGACACATTACAATGAGGTACTGCAGCTGCTTAACAGTTTCATTAAATGTCCCAAGAGATTGTCATGTCTCATCCTGTTTACTGACTAAATGGTATGGTTGGACTTGTTAGTTAAAATAAATAAATAGATTCAGTGTGTGTGTGTGTGTGCAACTGCATGCATGAGTGAAAGCCTGTGTAACTATAACAGTGATATTTCTTGTTTATATATTTATATTTTTGCACCAATTTTTAGCTTTCTGTTCTTTCTCTCTGCTGCTTCTTGCCTGCGTGCTCTGGTGTGAAAACAAAACTTAACATTTCTGCAAAAAAAAACAAAAACAAAAAAACAGTCATCAAGTGCTGCAGCGTCCTGTGGAGGAGGAGTAGCACTCTGACTGAAGAAACCCTGTTTTGGCTATCAAAATCAAACAGCCTCCTTTATAGTCTTGACTGGTAAGTTGACAGTTTCCTCCTTCACAAACAGCAGCGGCTGTGGTCAGCTTGAATTTGCGTCATCTAAATACGGATCCATTGCACATTCTTGTTCAATAGTAAGACCCCGCTATCAAGTACAGGACTCTCACTTCTCACTGTAAACGACATAGTGACAGTAAACTGTTAAAGATAAATTATAATAAATGAATTAGCTGAACTGTCGTTAAGCAGGACTAAGCTGAGATATTCTGTAACTGCCTCACTGGAGCTATATTACTGGTCATATGATATAACACATTACTGAATGTAATTATTATTGGAGTTTCTATCAACTCAAAAGTATATTTTGCTTATTGGTATTGCACCACAATGTTTGAGCTCCATTGTATAGAATAATGTCTGTGCAGAGGAAGAATATTTTCCACAACAATTAATGTACCTTAAATCTGATCTCAAGATTCCAATGTAAAACATGATTTAGTGACTACAGACAGCTGACAAATTAAAGGAAAATCCAAAATAAGGTGTCTTAGTAAGGCATTGGTGTGCCAGAACAGCTTCAGTGCACCTTGGCATTGACTCTACAAGTCTCTGAACTTGACTGGAGGGACAAACCAAAAGATATTCCCTCATTTGATGTTTTGATGCTGGTGGTAGAGATGCTGTTTAGGCCTTTGCTCCAAAATCTTGTGACTGTGAAGGGCACAGCATATGAGTGGCATCATTTTCATACTCATCACACCTTTCAGTGACCCCTCATGCCCTGTGGTTGGGGCATTGGCACTGGCTCCCATCAGGATAGAAATGTTTCATAATATAGGATATAAGTGATATAACCACATGTGCTCAGGATTACTTTGGCACACCTGTGTCAGGCACTACAATACATAGTTACATCCATAAATACCACTGCCTAAAACTACTGTGCCAAAAGGAAGCCCCATGTCAACAGTGTCCAGAAGCACAGCCGGCTGCTTGGGGCTCACAGGCATCTGGGATGGACCATCACACAGTGGAAATGTGTACTGTGGTCAGACGAATCAGTGTTTCAGGTCTTTTTTGGAAGGAATGGACGCCGTGTGCTCCAGATCAAAGACAAAAAGGACCATCCAGGCTGTTACCAGCAACAAGTCCAACAGCCAGGGTCTGTCATGGTCTGGGGTTGTGTCAATGCCCTTGGCAAAGGTAACTTACACTTCTGAGGTGGCTCCATTAATGCTGAAAAGTACAGAGAGATGTTGGAGCAACATATGCTGCCTTCAACACAACATCTTTTCCAGGGACACCCATGCATATTTCAACTAGACAATGCTAAACCTCATACTGCACATTACCAAGGCCTGGCTGTGGAGGAAAAGGGAGTGAGTGTTGGACTGGCATGCCTGCAGCCCTGGCCTGTCCCCAGTAGAGAATGTGTCAATGACAACCCAGGATTGTTGTGCACATTAAGACTTGTTCGCAGGAAGAATGGGACAAAATCACACCTTACACATTTAATCACTTGGTGTCCTCAGTCCCTAAATGTCTCTTAAGTGTTGTGAAAAGGGACAGCAACATCACATCGTGGAAAATAAATACTGCCCCAGCTTTTTTAAAAAATGTGTTGCAGGCATCAGAATTGAAGTGTGTTTATTTTGAACACAGAATAAAATTATGAGATCACATCAAATAATGTGCTGCTGTGTTGTTTTCAATATAACACGTGACATAGATGATTTATACATCACTGATTTAATTTCAAAATAATATTTACTTTTTGCCCTTCACACCAAGAACAGCTTACAAAATGTAATTTGCCAGTTTAACTTTGTAGCCAAAGATCTTCCCATTCTGCGATCGTCTGTATCGGAAAGTTTGACTCTTTTCTGCTATTGATTATTCGGCCTGGATTAAAAGAGGAAGCGGATGAACAAGAGCTAACAAAGCTAGCTGGGTTAAGTAACCGTCCGTAGACAGAACAGCTGCCTTACCTGGCGACTTCCTGTGTAGACAAGCTGACAGTGTTACAGACCGATCTGTTTTGAGAGGTTACTGCTCATGCAGGGGACCAGGTGGCTGTCATGTTGACCGGACCGGTTGCTTTCGGAGGCTTTTCCTTCCTCCAGGCTGATGATATCGGTGGGATTCGCTAGTTCCGCCTGAGCTTCTCACCACCACTACTACTGCTGCTACAAAAGCTGGCTGTTGTAGGACACGTAGCTCGGGGTTATCATACCCGGTAGCTAATATTAGCTGGGCTGAAGGTAATAAATCTGCAATTTCATTTTGTCAGCAAGCCAAATCAACTTTCCCGTTGGGCAGCATCTCACAGGCCAGAGCACTCAGCGGCAAAGATTTATGGGCATGTTCCTTATTGTGCTCTTTCCCGATGATTAATATTGTATACGTAACTCTTTAGGATTACTTGTGTTTATGTGTTTAATAGCTCTAATGAAGGCAGCGTGATGTACAAAGCAGGTTGCAAAACGATTTTTTAAAAGTGTCTTTTTGGCCATAACATTAAAAAAATGAATCTGCTTTTGTAATCCCTAGCCAAGCCAGTGATGCGTTTAGCGGTTCTTGTATATTGTTTTAAGGAAATCCTTCTCACACATTCCTTTTGAGGACAATACACGCGCGCACACACACAAGTTACATAAACTTTTCAGTAAAACTTAGCCCAGCAAAAATTGGGTTTCATTGCTTCATGAAATATGTATAATTATAAAGCGCTCAAGAATTGCGTGGCAAAATCTGTGTACACTACCAAGCGTTGCTTTTGCATAGCTTTTATTATTAGCCACTCCTTAAAACGTATAGTACTAGGATGAACTTAACAGGAGGCTGGAAGAGCCATATACCTACTCTTGTTGAAAGCTTACTTCTGAAAACAACCAGAATCAGTGTGGTTGAGTAGGGCCACAACTCTGGTGCTCTAAAACCTGACCAGCACAGTGGTGGCTGGGTGTGGGTTCCACTACATCTCAGTTCCACACACCTAAAGGCATGTGTTCTTATACCTTTGAACAGTAAATTGTTATCAAGCGAGGTACCTCATATATCAATGTCATGAACAACTAATATTACAAGACTTGTCATGGCTGAATCCAAATCAGAAGCATATTGTCTCTGCTGACACCTAAAAGCTGTGAAAGCATTTCCAGCGTGTGCTGCTGTTCGATTATCAGTGGATAGACATTTGCAGTGGCATCATACTGTACTTGTGATATGGCTTGGTCTCCATTTAAACATCTTGTCACTACATAACAAGCAGCAGGCTGGGACGGTCAAACAAAGCACAGCTCATGTTGTAGCCACATCTAACTGTGGTGTTGCAGTGTACTGACACACTTTAGAGTACACTCAGCCATCACTGCATCACCCCCCCGCATTACCCTCGTGTTACCCTGTTGTCATCGGGACTGAATTAATATACGTCTGACAGGATCAGTTTGGGGGTTGTGACATTAGCAAGTCATGAGTATTTTTGCCTTTTTGCTGTGAATTCAATGTTTGAATCCTGCCCTTTTTCTCCTCCCCACACTGTACAGCAGTTATGATGCAGGCTACTGGAGCATCCCAGGACCAGTCACAGGGTACAGGGGAACGGGGGGAGCTGGTACACACATTATCTAAAGAGATGTCTGGGTCTCCAGATGCCTCAGAGTTGGGGAGCCCACGGTGTACACAAAACTTTGACCTGTTCAACATGGTTGTGTGCTATAGGAGAATGGCTCTGTTTCTTGAGCCAGTTGCAGATGCAGTGGAGCTGAGCCGCTTCCTGCTCGGGTGTGTATGTGTGTTTGTTTGTGGTCTGTTTGAGCATCATATGATATAATTTCTTTTGGCCTGAGTAGTAATGACAGGAAGCTGTATTTATATTGGAGTATTCACTGTCATCTGCTTTTATCTCCCAGATGGAAGATGCCGCTGTGCTCGCTCCTTGTCTGTGTATTCCTCAATGTCTTCTTTTGCACTGTCACGAAAGGTAAGAAAAAAATTCATCCATTAATATTGATCCAGCCTTTGTTTGGCACTTTAAAAGCACTTAAATAATTAATGGCTGTATTGTTGTGTCTACCTCTCTGGTATCAGTGGGTTGGTTCTCTGTGGGTGTGGTGGCAGTGTCAGCGCCCGCTGCCCTGGGTTACCTGCAGGACAGGTGTGGGGGTAAAGCCTCAGAAGCTGAGCTTCAGAGGAGGTGCTATCACTCTGTGCACCGCAGAGACCTGCAGACAGTGCATCTCACCAAGCAGGAGGCCATGCTGGAAGTTAAAGACCTGTAAGACAAACACTGCATGGCAATATCAAATTATTATTTTTATTATTGATTATTCTGCAGATTATTTTCTCAATCGTTGTCTATAAAATGTTAGAGAATAATAATAAAAAAATGCCAGGTACAATTTCCTAATGTAATGTCCTAGTCAGCAATTCTTTATATTTATGAAGCTGGAATGTTTGGTATTTCTGCTAGAAAAAGACGTTCAACAATGTATCAGTGCCTAAAATAAAAGAGTTGCCAGTTCATTTCCTGTCAATTGAACAATTGACTGATCATTTCAGCTGTAATATCCTTTATGTGTGGATAGGTGCAACCTTACAGGCGGTCCTTGCGACTTTCCTCCAGAGAAAGTACTCTGTCCTAAAAGTCGCTAGATATTTGGCTAGTCGCTTTTTTGAAAAAAGTCATTAAAGGGGTCTTAAGAGTCACTAAATCCAGAAACAAACTTGCTAAATTAGCAACACTGTCCACACATGTATGTACTCCTGTCATGGAGCATGTGGACTGACAGAAATTGTGGGTTAAAAACCACTCCTTTTGTGTTGAGGTGTTTCACTTCCATGTCACAGTTACAGTTACTTTTGTAAAAACACAAATGCTTAATAGTTGTCCCAATAGTGGACATAAATTCCACCACCTTTTTTGAAATAACTAGTTTTCTTTGTTTTATACCATTATACCTTACATTATTTGTAAATAAAGAAACAATTAATTATTGAATTTTCAAAGGTGCTATAGTAACTGTGTTCCCTGTCTTCATCCAGGTTGAAGCACTTGGATGACATCCTGTCCTCTGCCTGTCAGTCAGCAGAAGCTATTGATAAAGTCCTGCGCTGGGATAACCACACCAAGTCATTAAGGTCTGCATCTACATACACATTTAATGTTGTGACAAAGACTAAAATAGCCACACAACAATGGTACTGAACAAACATTTTGTCCACACAGCCATAAAAAGACCTGCACACAGTTAGTCTTACTGTATTTGTCAGGACACTAATTGAAACAATCCCTTCCCAGCCCCTTATCCATGACGAGTAAAGGCCTATCCCAACCCTACCCTAAACCTAATTCAAACCTTAACCCTAAAAACAAAGGTGAAGTTGTGAGGAAAGGCCAAAATGTCTTTGCAGAGATGGTTTCAATCTAAAATTTGTCCACACAACCATGTAAAGACAGATACTGTTTGGGTGTGGGTGTGTGTGTGTCACCTGTAGTTGAGTAGGCATTGCTCAACAGCTGAATCACTTAGGGTGGGACGGTGTGACGTCTTGATACGATTTGATTCAATCACGATACAGTAGGGGTGTGACAAGATCTTGTTGTCGTATTAAAATGTGACGATATTTCTTGTCGAAGTAAAACCTGTCTCGTGATATCGGTACATAACAGAACCATATGATATGAAAAGATGTGAAAAGATTCAACATGCATTCATCATTCATTGTGTGGTACTTTGCCTCCCCAGATCACTAAACCCGCCCCTGCTCTGAAACTGAGTTTATGAACGACCTTATGACAGTTTGAATTTATGAATGCACCAATAATGATCCTCTGGCAAATGATTACTTTTAATCAATAATCCATGTTCATATACTTTAGTCAGCCTTATGTGCGTGCTGCAGACTGCTAGTGTCCATAACGTACGGTACCAGGACTGCGAGCTAGGCAGATGAAAACGGTGCGTTTCTCTGCCTTATGTGATGGACTGTGGCTGGACGTTGTTATATAAGAGAACACGTCCAACAACGTTTCCACAGACTACTCGTGTTTCTGCCCTGACTCGCAAAAGACTTGTTGCAACAAGCATTGTCAGCATCGATCCTAGTGAAATGTAACCACACATACTGTAGTTAGGTTCTCTCTGCCGTGTGTGTGCTGCAGTGTATGAGACGGGGCTGCCGTCGTCCCTCACACACAGACTCAGAGACACATCTGTCCTCTGGATTGGGAAAAGCGCAAGCGCATCATAAACAAGTATATTAATCAGAAGCAGAGTTGGTGGGATGAAATGTGCAAGGTATCCTTTATGTAGTGATAATAAATAGGACATCTGCCTTCTTAACTTCTCCAATACCTATAGCAGAACCAATAACGTTGGGGCTTATTGATGCTGGTATTTAATCATTTAGCACTAGTACCCGTTTAATACCGAGATTTGGTACCCATCCCTAAGTGCAAGTGATCAGATATTGACAATCTATGATCAAAATTAGGATTCTAATTAGGAATAGTAACAGAATATTACTGTTAGAAAACTCATGTAAACATCTTGGTTGAACTATGTACTCACTGCTTCAGCTCTAGGTCAGAAGTTACAGTATTATTGCATCAAATGTCAGCCTGCCTGTTTCAATAATGTACAGGCTGATCAATAACTCTCATGGTTTGAGTGTGTACTGTCCTCCTCTAGGTTTTACGGAGGGGTGCTATTAGTGTTGTATCTGCTCTACGTGGTTCCTGTGGGCTGGGTCCTTGCTGGACTCAACAGCGCCATCTTCCTGTGGAACAGGGACTTCTGCAGAGGTCAGTTCATTCTGTCTGGAAGAAGCAAGGGTGAACACTAACTCTTACACAAGAAGTCAAGGCTGAAGTAAATTGTCATTTCTCCTGTGGTTCCAGTTTTGTTGGATCTTCAGAAGCTCTTCCACATGGGCCAGACCAAGGCCTCAGAAGGGCTGTGTGAAGAGCAGGAACAAGGCAACTTGCTGGACAGGACCCCCACACCAAATAGTCTGGAGGTGAGAGGATGGAACATCATTGGACAAATGTGTTTGTAGCTTTAAATAATGAAGAATTCAGCATGATTTACACTGGAAACCAATGTTGGCTAGTTTTCTTCTTATAGAGTCTGCCCATTTCTCTCAGTGTATAACCACTACTGTAGAGCAGATCCATTCACTGACATGTCTAACAAGGCCACAGTGAACTAAAAATATCACCGATCAAAAAAATTATTACTTTCATCTTTGATCAAGGTTCAAGAATTTAAATGGATCAGTGATAACATTACCAAGTCTAAGCTGCCTATCCTGGGACCATCAGAGATGCAGGAGCTGTCTGCAGTAGATTGTATGGCTCAGTATTTATATATTAATGAGTGTGTGTGTGTGTGTGTGTGTTTGTGTCATGACAGGACTTGTCTCCTGGCAGTGTGGAGGAAGCTGAAGAGGCAGAGCCTGATGATGAATTTAAGGATGCTATTGAGGTAAATAAGATTCTAAACATATTTGTTCACCGTTCAGTAGCATTTTTTTTTCATGTCACAGTTTTTACCCAGATCAGTAATCTTTTTTTTTATTTATTTTTTTACTTTTTTTTAAAAGTTCACTTTAGTTTCTTTCCTGCTGGCTACCTCTGTACATGTGTGAATTAAAGACAAACCAGACATCCACTGTTTCTTGTTAGATTTGCTTTCTTATTTGTGTCAACAGTAAATGCATGGCTGGATCAAACAGCATTCAGTAGCTTAGTTTAGCATAAAAACTGTAAACAGTAGGAAACGGCTATCCTGACTCTACACACTGTTATATCATATTTGTATAATCTGTGTAAAAACAACAATTTGTGGGTCATGTTTGGGGCTATTTCTTGCTAAACAAACAAGACATTTCGTGTTAATTACTGAGCTTTAGAGATGCTGGCAGGTGGATTCTGTTACTGTTGGACATGCTGGCTGTTTCCAGCTGTTTGTAAGCTAATGGCCTTCTGGCTGTAGATTCATGTTTGGCATACAGATGTGAGAGAGGTAACGGTCTTCTCATCTAACTCTTGGTAACAAAGCTAATAAGAATATTAATCAAAATGGAAACTGTTGAATCACATTTCATCTGCTGGCCGATTTGATGATAAAAATCTGAGGTCTACCAACCATACGTGGTCATAGGTGCAGCAAAAGTGCCTGGTGAATTTTGCACATGATATGCCTCTAGTTCACGTTACATGTTTGACACATCACTGTGTGTAAAACCCCTTTCATGCTCATGAATTTCTGGTTGCTTCCTGTTTTTTCTTCCTCTGCTGCTTTTAAAATTAGGAACATTCAGTTTCTCTGCAGGTGAGTTCACCCCCTTCTGTTCAGAAGAGTCTAGTGCACTGCCACCCAGTAAATGAAACCCTGTGTAAGCTTGTGTGAGGTGACCTTGTGGCGTAGTTCTCGCTTTGCTCTTTGAAGCATGGTTTTGGGTTTATTCCTGTGTCGTCACCACTGTTTGTTTTCATTGTTTTCATGTTGTTCTGCTTCCTGACAAGGAAACCCCTTTGGTCTTGGTGGTAAGTGGATTTCCAAATGCCCTCCATCCATCCATCCATGCGTTTTGACTCTTGTTAGTGATAGTTATGTGATAATGATACATAACACTAATTAACAGGCCCATACCTACTGTCTCCAAAAATCCCATCATACATACAGTAGTTATTCATTTCTAGTCTGCACGACTGGTATTGTTCATTTGTACATTTGTTTTTCTGTCTTCAAACCATTATAGTAAGTTGAGCAGTGTTCTGTAGTCTCTTGTGATTACATAGAACTGTGTTCTTTGTTTAATCACAACATATACATTGAAGAGTTGTTGCACAAAAGCATTTCTATTTTAGGTTTCTGATTTGCAGACTTTGATATTGGTGGTGCTGGCTATCCAGTGTTCAACACACAGCAAACAGAGACAGGTTGTCCTGTTCCTCAGACACCTGTTTGTTGAGAGTGGATGGATTTCTTTAGCCAGAAAAATATCTTTCCCTTCTTCTTGGTCATCATTCTGTCTTCTAAGGTTATATGAAGTCATTTTTGCATTTAAGTATATTTGATTATACTGACCTGATTATCCAACTCTTGGTCCGCAGAAAGTTGGGAATTGGCCTTTTAACAAGTCTTATTTGGGTGACATATAGGTAGGTAGGTTCACAGAGGAACTTACCTCATAGACTTGGCATTACAAGGATAAAATGATTCAAATTAGTGGTTTTCTGCAGGGTTTGGTGTCCTTATATTTGGCAGATGGATTAACTATAGCACTCATGCATTTTACCTATAAATAGGTGTATTTGCCATCTGTGACTATTGCCCTAGTGGTCCCAGTACTTTCCACCATCAGTCTTGATTTATTTGCCAAATATCTTTTAGTCAAACTGGTGGAAATGATGACTATTTATCACTAATGATTTCTTCCAGTTTTTCTCTACTGCTGAGTTTTGCTGTTCCCTGGCCATGTTTATGTAACATAATGTAGTTTATACAGTATGTAACTGCTTTTTCTTTGTTTGTTCCCCTCCTTCCCCCTCGCTCTCCCTCAGGAGGATGACGACGGGCCTCTTGCAGCTCCGGAGTATGACACCATCTCTGAAAATGGCCTGTTAAGCCGCAACGAACCAATACGCAGTAAAGTGTCCAAACTGACGGAAAAACTGCGTAAACGCTACCCCACCACCAGCACAGGTCAGTCTGCTCTGACTCATCTGCTGAGTTATTTATTTGTTTTAATATACTTCAGAGGTGAAGGAAGAGTCTTGTCTGTTAGAATCGTATCTTAGGTCTGAACAGATGCATTTTATTTTCAGTCATATACAAGAATTGTTTCTAATTCACTCACTTTTCTGTCTCCATAGGCAGCTGTTCTAGCTGCAATGCTGTCTTTTCAGTGCTGAAGAAAAGGGTGAGACTGACAACTTGCAACAAGAACTGGGGATATATTTAGACAACTCGTCATCAACATATTTAATCTTTTCTTAGTTTTCTGCTGGCATGAGCTTCAACACGCTGTGTCTCTTCCTGTTGCAGAGAAACTGCAGTAACTGTGGCAACGTCTTCTGCTCCCGATGCTGTTCCTTTAAGGTGCTGAGATCTTGCATGGGAGCCACAGGTAAGAAGACAGGAATGGGAAAATACCAGGCCACAATATTTCATTCTTAGATTATATTAATATTATTATTATTCTGCCTCTGTTTGCTCATACTCTTCTATTCTATGTTTCTTATTCAGCTCCTGAGGCCCAGAGAGAGACTGTGTTTGTTTGTGCTGCTTGTAATTCCTCTCTCATCAAGTTACAGTGAGACAGTGTGATGGTCTTTTCTCCCAGCAGCCAGGTTGATGCCCCCTCCCTGGCCCTTCACTCAGTTTCTGAAACCCTAACGCATGCCTTTTAAAATTCAGGCACATGTTAAGGTCTTTGTCAAGATACCTCCTGTGTTGCAGTCACAGACCCCCCCCACCCCCACACCTTTACCATTACATCCCTCCTTAGCTACTCATAATGATTATGGGACCTCTACTGTAATGTGTTGCATTTTTTTCAGTTTCAACTCTCAATTAAGAACTGGACCTTATGAATCAAGACTGACTACAAAGCAGATTAAAGGACCTTGTGTTTCCCCTCTGCTGAGCAGAGGGAGGTACAGAGCGTGCGTGGCGGAAGCCAGGGCTGGGCTGCTGCTGTTGGCTGCCAGCAGTTTTTTTTTTTATGCAATTTGCCTCATCACAAAGTTGATTCCACTTGATTGTTGATGTCTTTAAAATGCAGTCCTGTTTAGCAGTTTACTGTAAGTGTACTGAAATGCTGACAGGACTTTTCTGTATGAACAACACAAAGACTGGGACTTCTGTGGAGGCAGACACTGTACGAATGCAATGCTCACTGTCCACCAATACACTTTTCCCTGTATCTGGTCAACAATGTTGTGGTTATTCTAGGTTTTTCTGGGTCCTTGAAGCCACTGGTTTTGGTTTAATTGATGTTTTATTAATTGAATCGGTTCCTATTGTGACCCATATGCTGCTTACAGTTTGCCAGAGGTGGTGTACTGGAGGGCTGTGTATAAGGACCAGTTTAGAAAACCAACTTGCTCTGCTTGTCGTTTGCAAATTGGTGCTTCATCCTGGTTGGTTTTTCTTTGTGTGGACATGTCAGATTAGCTTTTTTTGGAGGGTAATGAAAGCCTAAATGCCCAGAGATCCCAACAGCCCAAGGGTTTCCTCAAGCTGTATCAAAGTCTACCTAAGAGGATTAAAGTTGTTTAAATGAGAAACCTACTGAAACTAAACCTGCTGAAACCGTTTTCAGAGCCTCATACTCTTGCAAGCAGGACTTAAACGAATGGGTGTGGAGGCATTATAACCCAAAAGGTGGATCTTGGTAGTAAAGTTGTTTTAATCATGATCCAGGCACAGACGATTGTAATTACTGCTTTGCTTTTATTGTAATCATATATGAACTCTTACTGTAAATTTTTACTATACCTAATATATTTAATTTTAAACTCCAGAAAGTGCAAGTTATTATTTGAACTAATGGTAGTTTCTGTATATATTGTCCCTTATTTTATGGTTGAAATATGCCATTATTGAAATAAACTCTGTGATGATTTGATTGTTCACAAGTGTTAAGTCTGTTCTTGAGCTTTTCCTTATATGAAAGCAATTAAGTACCTAAATTTAACCACTACTGAACATGTAGCGAAATTTAAATACCACTTAATCCATATCATTGAAATATTTTACTTTGAAAATGATTTATGTTTGTTTTATTCTCATTAAATGTAACCTGATGCAGCGATCTGATCACATCCGTTCAAGCTTCATTATCTTTTGTAGTCTGGATGTTCAAGTTTGAATTTTTGAATTATCCCCTACTTTTTCTCCGTTTAGTAGTTTCAATGCTCATTATTTTTGTCTGATTTATGTGTTTGATGCTTTTTGATAAATGTTAGTACTCAGTCCTACGGTTCACAGCCACGAGTCTGTTTGACATTGCCTCACAAAGATGTTAGATTTTAAAATTGCTACCAGTCCAGTCTGACTTTTGCTTTTAGCTCGTTTAGTGACCCAGCACTGTTTGTTTCCTCTGTTAGGTATGTGTATTGAACGCCTTCCTAAGCCATCAGTCCTTTTCTATACGAGACAGTGGAGGCGTTGAATTAACATGACCTCAACGCTGTACTTGCGCTAGCCCCGCCCCTCCACCCTTCCACCCCGCCCCTCCGTCCCCGTGTCCCATTAAAGCGACTGCAGCTCATGCAAGGATTCGTCCCTACGGCCACGGATGGCAACATGGCGACAGAGGTAAGGCTGGAACATGATCTGGTTCATTTTCTGCTCCGTTGTCGACCAGGCACTGAGAACAACTGCATTATCATTAGCACAGAACCGGCGCAGGTGCAGTTAACATGGTCAGCGAGGGCATTACGCCCGTGCACGCGTACAACGTGGCTCACGGGTCCAGTCGGCTCACTTGAGTCAGGACTGATGACTGCCCTGCATTATCGTGCTAGTTTCGTCCGAGGGTTGGTCGTTTGTTTGTCTCTTTCTAAGCGTGTTCTGACATTTTAAAGAGGAAAACAACAACAACAGTGAAAAGGCAGAAGCAGCGGGTCTCCACGCAGCCCTCCCCTCGATGTTAAGCTATTTCGGTGATCTGTTTTTGTCTGGTGAGACGCCCCGTTAATCCGGTGACAGGCCAGTGACCACACACACACACACACACACACACCGTTCAGCACCATGGACAGAAACCACGCAGCCCTGACCTTCCTCGCTGCTTTACCATCCGCTTTCGCCTGCACCTGTGCTTTTATAAATACCAGCAAAATAATGGTTGTTCATAAGGTTTCGGTGCACACACCGTGCTCTGATTAACAGCACAAATACTCGGTATTGCAAGAGTTGTAAAATCTGAACTAGATTTGGTATATCACTCTACTTAATCTTGTTCCCATTGATCGATCTGTTGTGAAATGTTGCCCCGTGTTCTGCAAACTAAACCTATACCGGGCTCTGCTCCAGCAGTCCGCAAAGCACGACTGAGTGCAGACACTGAGCCCCGGAGTGATCGATCACATCTTTGTCTGCGTCTCTGTTTGTACACAATACAGCTAAACAGATGTAGAAACATAGAGATGTAGCTGGCTCTGGGGACTCACTGATGACTAATGGCATCAGACCTCATTATCTGTTATCTGTCTGTCTCTGTGTTTTTTTTTTTAAACCTCCCTAGTTCCACAACCTGCAGGAGTTGAGGCACAGTGCATCTCTTGCGAACAAAATCTTCATCCAGAGAGACTACAGTGAGGGAACCACCTGCAAGTTTCAAACCAAGTTTCCTTCTGAGCTGGAGAGCAGGGTGAGGTGATGGGGAACCTGAGACTATGGGCATTTTCAGTGGAACATGCTCCTGTGTTATGTTTTCTTTGGTCTGAATAGATATCCATGCATGTATTCAGATTAATGCTTTGCAGTTCCTTCTTTTAAGGCACTCCCGTGATTGATATGAAATGCTTAATTACAGAAATAATAATTAAAACATCAACACAGCTCTTTTTTCCCTGAATGTTTATAATGCAGTGTTACCTCCACGTTGAAAGAAGAAACAGTAGATCCATTTAAAGGGTTAGTCAAGCAGATAATTCATTTCTATAACTATTCTTTTATTCTACTTTTCAGAATAAAATGCCAAACAGCTTCTCCTGTGATAATAAACCGAATATTTAATGTTTTGAAGTGATGCTCAGAGAAAATGTTTTATAGACTTTAAAAAAAACAATTACTGGGCAGTTTACAGACCAAACAAATAATGAATTCATTGAGAATATAAATGCAGCCCCAGTTCAAAGCTCTGGGTGATATGGTTGTCTTATATGACAAAAAAAAAAACACACATTGATTTGGTGAATTATACCTTTATCTTCATGTTACCTTTTTTATTTATGACTGTACAAAAAGTTAATGTTTTGTTTAGAGAGTTACTAATGGTGGTAGCCATGTTAACTACACTTGTTTTTCTTAATGAACTCGGCAACAGGACTGGTAATGTGGTTTATAACCCCTGGTGTGTTCTAGGCAGCAGGCTATGCAATGTCCATCTATTCATGACTCTGTCCTGTGTGTCCCCAGATTGAGTGGACACTGTTTGAGGACACTGTGAAGACGCTGAATAACTACTACGCAGAGGCAGAAAAGATCGGAGGACAGTCCTACCTGGAAGGGTGTCTGGCCTGCGCTACAGCCTATCTTATCTTTCTCTGCATGGAGACGCGTTATGAGAAGGTTAGACTCAAACTTGATGCATTTTAATGGTCCAGGGATTCTTTGCCATTCCCCGTTGTCCTTGTTATGTCTGTGCAATAGGTGTTAAAGAAGATTGCCAAGTACATTCAGGAGCAGAATGAGAAGATCTACGCTCCCAGAGGTCTGCTCATCACAGATCCCATAGAAAGGGGAATGCGTGTCGTATCCTTGGTCAGAGTCGCTGGGTGCATATACACAAAAGCATAGGTATTTACACTGTCATAAAGAAAGAATTTTAAAAAGATAATATTCAGGCAGCTGGGGTACCAAAGATTTACCATAAAATTACAGAAAATAACCTTTTACTTTAGTTTCCTATATTTTAAATGCAGCCCCTATTACTATTTTTTAAATTTCAGGGATGTTCCTTTATTTAAAAAAATGCAAAAAAAGAAAATGACAGTTATATTTACAATATACAGTGCTGCTAATTTTAGCTCATATTGTTAGTGAGTATTCATTGTAATTTCACAAGAGTCAGTTCTTCATTTGACACAAACAACATAAAATGGCAACTGTAGAAGCCACGTTGTACCAAAATAGTCCAAAGGCAGCATGCGAGGCTGCTTCCAGTTGCTTTATTAAAAAAGAAGATAAGATAAGAAGCCTTTTATTGTCATTGTTTTAAATTGCAAGTGCCCTTCCCAGTGGTGTTTAAAACTATACATACATAGCACATGCACACAGTCAACTACCTTCCATGTCATGTACCAACATTTCATCATCTCATATCAAATACAACGTGTGCAGGGGAGGACATCGAATTCTAACCTTCATCATGGTTTGTATATTTTGTTAATTGTTATGAAAACTATCAACCTAGACTTAATTTAATATGTATTATAGATACATACCATGATTTGGTTCTTCAAACTGAGTAATTGAAGAGCTTTAACTCTAACACAGTGCATGCTGGGATGTCTCCTTTTTCAGATTGTCAAACAGTTAATGGTAAATATTTACAAGATTATGGTTAAACTAACTTTTTAAAAACTAAGGATTTTATGGTGATTCACAGCTACAGAATTTTCCTGTTATTTAATTTTGGCATGTAATTTCACAGTATATTTTTTTGTAATTTTAATAACATTTCCATGTATTTTAGATATACAGTAAAATCCTGTAAAACTGCTGTTTTTTAACAGCATATTCCACAGCAAATGTTTTCACCCTAACTACTTTCAACAGATAGAGATTTGCATTTATGAAGATCGGGGCTCCAGTGGCTCCAGCTCAGGCAGCAGCTCTGTGTCTGGCAGCACTGCCCGATGACCGGGCTCTTCCCCTTGATCACCTGGAGGAGAATCCAGGGCAAAACTACCACTCCCCTCCCAACACTTAGCCCATACACCCCTAAGCTACGCCTTCACAAAGGATTCATTAGCTTTTTTTGTGCTCCTGACCTGCCATCACATGCTTAATTTGTTTAAACATTTTCACAGTGAATGTATAAAACCTGCACTGTTGTTGGTTTTTGAAGTGAAGACCTTATACCTCAGCCACACAATGGGGTCCAGATCAACCACAGCCGCACCCTGCCTACAAGAGACCTGCCATGAGACTGGGCTGAATTCATAATCATTAACCCTGGTACAGCAGACAATGACTTTAAACATGTTACCTGTAGTTTACACACTCTAACAAATGTTAGAAGGATGTAAGACATCACAAAGTTTCACCTAGTTTTCCTAGAGCCCAGATAACCTGTAAACCTCCTCACTCATCTTTGCTGTAAATCATGCTGTCTGGTAGCAGATGAATGCCATTCAGCCTGTCCATGTATATAATGTAGCAGTTCTTCCATATTTCTCACATGAAGCCTGTATTTCATTTGTCAGACACACGTACACAAGCAGGTGCACAAAGCTAAGTAGTAACCTCTTGGTTTCAGTGAGACCAACTCTTCCTAAATTTTGATTATGCAGAGACTGTGCATGAAATGCAATAGTAAGTAGACAAAGGAGGGGCCAAAGAAGTCTTCCTGAATTTTACTCGTAGTCTTCAGAAAAAAAAACCTTCCTTGATTACTAAATAATCTTCCAAAGAACAATAACTGCCAAAAACTGGCTCACAAATGTGAATGTCTGTGATGTTTTGTGCAATAACAAAAATTTCTTTCTGCATGTTGTTTGATACACATGGTAATAACGTAAATGACTGGTATCAAATAAATATGGTTTCATCACAGCTACTCAGATTTATCTTTATTTAATATTATATTGGAAACAGAATAGATTTTTTTTATGGTGTACATTTTGACTTTTCACAGAAGCAAAAGCAGCAACTGCAGCCATTATTAAAGCTGCACTAATCACAACTTCTATATTAAAAACTGAACAATGACTGCGTGTAATGTGTTGAATTCAGAGTTATTATTTCACATGGTAGCTTCCCTCACTTTAACATTGCTTTTTAGCATCTTTTATTGTATTTTTCTGGTTTTTCCACCTGCCACACTTCTGTTCTAGTTGACGCTCACCACTGATTTATCAAAAAGCATTATCTCAGTTTATTAAAATAATGAATGAATGAACATATTTTCATACCTCCATGAGAAATTTACTGCAATTTCTTTCCTGGAACACAATTAATTAAAAGTAGAATTAGATTTTGCAATAAAGGCCATTTTCAGATAAGACATTTTGACATGCCACACTGGGAAATCCACACGTGTAAATACTGATGGATGTTTCATTTCATTTAGCTGCTTCAGTATCAGGATCCTTGTATTGGTCATGCAGGTTCACTGCAACAGTTCATAAAATAACATTGTTAATGTTGTAACATCTATGCCTTTCCTTCTATGACAACTTATCTAAGGTGGGCAGAGCAGTCGTCTCCCAACCAGAAGGTTGAAGGTTCAAATCTCGGTGCCGGCTGTCCATGTGTCGAAGTGTCCTTTGGCAAGACACTGAACCCCCCTGTTGCCCCCGATGGTTAGAGCCATCGGTTGAGGTGGCGTCGCAGATGGCTGCCATCGGTTCTGTGGTGGAAACAAATTCCTTGTGTATAGCATACTTGGCCAGTAAAGGTGATTATCCTTATCCTTATCCTACCATGTCCTGAGCGCACTGCAGTGAAACTTATAACAGGAGTGGATGCCGTCGTAAAATGAAGCCAACACTGTGTGAAGGGAGGAACAGAACAGTGGAGAAGAAGAAAAAGGTAGAGGAAAAGAAGGACAGGCAGACATCAGATTAAGACAACACAGCCAGTGGTGGAAGAAGTACTCAGATTCTTTATGTAGGTAGCAATACCACAGTATAAAAATACTCCAAGTAAGGGTCATGCATAAAAATGTTACTTCAGTAAAAGCACAAAAATATCTGCATCAGAACACACTTAAAGGACCAAAAGTAAAAGTACACATTATGCAGAATGGCACATTACACATGAGTGTATATCATATTATTGGATTATAATTATTGATGCACTGTTGTGCACATCACATTTAGTGTTGCAGCTGGTTAAGGTGAAGCTAATTTTAACTATCTTATATGCTTATTATTTACAGGAATCAACAAAGTCCTATGATTATAGTGTATGCTGTATTATGAATTTGATTATGAAAAGTAACTAGTAACTAAAATAATCAAATAAATGTAGTGCAGTAAAAGGTACCACATTTGACTGAAATGTAGTGAAATTAAAGTATAAAGTAGCTGAAAATGAAAAGACTCAAGTAAAGTACAGATGCTTAAAATTGTACTTAGATGCAGTACTTGAGTAAATGTACTTAGTTACTTTCCACCACTGAACACAGCAGATAAACATTAGAAAAGAAAGAAGACAGGTGTGTTTGCACTGAGGAATAAAGCGACTCAGTACCTTTCCTTGTAGTTTGCGTCAGCCACAGAGTTCGTGTCTCATACTTAGCTCTGCTTCAGCTGGCTGCAGGTGTTAGTGCAAACTCAGCAGGTCTTAAAACACAGACAGAAAATCGATCCAACATTATAAAATAAATAATTTCTAGATACATAAATATTGTCCAGACAAATGAAAACTTTTGCGACGACGATATGTGCATACATAGATGTTATAAACGCTCTATAGTATTTAATTTGCTTCACGAAGACATTGTCTGGAGGACTATACGCTCCATCCGCTGTTAATCCATCTATGTATGAAGTCTATTCTTACCTGACTGACTTTGTTGAAACGATGTGAGTGCACTTTATTGTATAATTTCGCAACGATTCTGTACCTTATACAGGTTATGCTTTATGTTTACGAAATCAGCTTGTGTAATACGTAGAAACACGGATAATCAGTGCACAACCGTCTGAATAATGAGGAAATTGACCAATGGCTGACCCGTGTTTCTGTGGACGTCCTGTATCTGCGGGAAGCAGATATTGGCTACTACTACATTGATATCGCAGAAATAGTACATTCGGCCTACAGCACATTAACGTTAATAATTCAGTTATGGGTAGAAACATTGATCTATAAAGACAACTATTATTCTGCAGAAAAGCAACGTCAATATTAAAAGAAACGCGGTACAGTTGTACAGTCCGATTTAGCGCCAACATATTACACGAACACCATCTCCCAGAATGCCATGCGTTGTTCTTTGCTTGCGTCATAGTGCGACGAAAACCTGTTTCAAAACAAAAATAACACGGGTAAGCTGCAGAACCAGTGATTAGTTAACGATATCCTATATAGTTCAGGTTAAAATATCCATAATGAAAAGAAATGACACTTTTAATTTAAATCGATTTGAAATGTATGTTTGCGTCCTAATAAACAAGCATAGAGGCAGTTTGGCTACCTAAATCAGTTAGCTCACTGTAGCTAACGTCATTAATGCTAACAGTTACACTGTAGTGTGTGTTACTGTTGTCATTTTTAGACGGTTCTCCTGAATATGTAAGCTATTTCACGTCGTTTAAATAAACGTGAGTTAATATTGTCATTAACTGCATTCAAGACTAACTTGGAAATCTGTTAAAGCAAACGTTGACAGATGTTTATTATTAACATTACGTATTTCTCAACATTGCGTTTCCTCTTCTGTTTCAGTTCCTCTATGACCTAGATGTTTTTATAACATATATAGTAATGGAGTTGGAACAACCAAAGGAAGACTGTGCTCCAACTCATACAACACCCACATCTTCCACTCAGTCAAAGAGGCCGAGTCAGGCTCTGTATGTTCCCAAACAGCGACTTCATGGCTCCAAAGACAAATCTCAGACTCAGGGAGAAGTTAAAGCAAGACCCAAGCCTCGGTACACAGACAAGGCACGAAAGAATGCTAAGAACAAAAAGGACAAAGCTGGAGGAGCTGACGAGACAGCACCTGATGGAGGAGGGCTTGCTGGTGATTTACAGAACAGTGACTGCAAGTCTGATGTGAAGGAAGAGCAGCTGCAAGATGCAGAGGTGTTGGCTAATGGGCAGCCTGAGTTGACTGATGTGGAGGCAGATGTTACCTCACGGCTTAAAGCAACATTGCCTCAGGAAGAAAAGGGGGAAGAGGAGAGTTGGGACACCTTGTTCAATGATGATGGAGATTGTCTGGATCCTCACCTTCTTGAAGAGGTGAGAGCTTGGTGTAGATGAGGGCAATGTAAAAATAATATCAAAGTAACTAGAAAACCTTCCCCAATATTCATATACACTCAGTTGCCAGGTTATTTGCAATTCAGGCTTAATGACCTTTATCTTTTTCTGCTTGCAATCATATCACTTCTTTTCCCTCCAGCTGGCTTTGAAGGAAGGCAGGAAGAAGAAGTCCGTCCAGGAGCCCAGGTTTGATTACTACAACATGGACCGAGATGATGATGATGATGACGACGACGACGACATCGACCTCAGAGAGGATGAACTCTCTCATATTGTGGAGATTTATGACTTCCCTACTGAGTTTAAGACAGAGGACCTTCTCAAACTATTTCAGTGCTATCAGTGCGTATAATTCAGTGTAGTACTGCTAGCCTAAAGATATTTTTATATGTATTTATTTTTTTATACACTACCGGTCAAATGTTTGGACATACTTTTCCATTTAATTGAGTGGGTAGCGTATTTATTTTTACTTCTTGTACTTACTGTATTTTAAGCTCAATATTGGAATCCTGAATGAAACACTCTTATTTTCCTAATGAATGGTTTCTCTGTGAGCTAATGATTTAACCAAAACGAGTGAAGTCTGTAAATGTGGGATCCATGGTTTAGATAATGATAAATGAGATAAACACGTCTGGGAAGACCTGATGTGTCTGATTTATCTTCCTTCAGTTTTGGCAACATTATCTTTACAGCTGCTTTTGTGCAACTTCTTTCTTTGTTTTCAGACAGAGAGGCTTTGACATTAAGTGGATTGATGACGCACATGCCCTGGGCCTTTTCTCAAGCCCCATAGCAGGTTAGTGAAGCTGTGATTCACGTTTAAGGTGGTTTAGGGGGGAGCATCTCACAATACATTATCCTCTGCAAATGTGAGAGGAAAACTTTTGGTAAAGAGGATCAGTGCCCACTGTTGCAAAAACCCTGCTTTGACACAGTTTTATAAATTCAGCAGTTGTATCCCAATAATAATAAATATCATAGTGACGTGTGCACTTTCTTTTTGATCATTCTAAGCTCGTGAAGCTTTAAGATCCAAACATCCACTAATGAAGTTGCGACCACTCTCCAAATCCTCCTCCGCCACAAAGGCTATAGCCCGTAGCAGCTCAGGTACAAATGCATTCATCTGTCGTGCTTCTTCTTTGTCTATTGTGCCTTTCAAATTAAAGACTAGAATTTATCCATCATATTTCCTTTCTCCTGCCATCCATAGACTACCTCCTGCCTGCTAAAGAGAGACCTCAAACAAGTGCGGCACTGGCTCGCAAGCTTGTGATCGGTGCCCTCGGTGTAAAGAGCAACCTGACTAAAGAGCAGCGTGAGGCAGAGAGGAAGAAACTCCAGGAGGCAAGAGGTATGTTAAACACAGAGATGTTCAGCTTATAATGGTTTTTAATCATTGAACCGTGCTGTGATTAGCAGAACCTATACTGTTCTTTCTCTAGCCAGGGTTGGTCTGTGTTATAACCTGGGGGGTTGTATGCTCTCTCTCCACTAATAGTTTAGAGTTTAGAGAAGACAGAAATACTGCAGATCCTCATCTTGGGTGGGCTGTAGCTGAAGTAAATAATGGGTATAATATATGTTGTGTCAAGCAGGAGGTCACTAGGAAAGAACACGGGTACTCAGTCAAACTTCTTAAATTGAATTAATAACTGATAAAAATACTTCACCATCCTGAAGGTCCTAGTTTTTGCATTATAGTATTTCTACCACAAGAGGGTGCTGTTTTTTGCACTTTTCAGAAGAAAATCAAATCAAATTTTATTTGTATAGCGCCAAATCACAACAAAAGTCATCTCAGGACATTTTACAAAGTAAGGTCTAGACCTTACTGTTATCACACTAACCTTAACCTTAACCTAACATTAAAGGTTTAAAATACAAAGTGTAGTTTCCTATTGCCAAGAGAAGTTCCTTCCACACATCATAACTGGGTTACAGTCAATAAAGCTGGCATTTCGCCTTTACAGAAGGAACATAAGTGCATAGGCACAGAAAACCACAAATGGCTGTCCACTGAACAGCCAGTCCTGAAAACAGGACTGCTAAAAAAAAGCCCCTTTGTTTTTAGCATAGACATTTTGTTGTGCTCTTTATTTAGGATCACAGCATGCAGAAAAAAAATGCCAGTGTGGCTGTGCATTGTGCTGAACATTGTGTCCTTGTAATGGATGCCACGTATGTACGCATCCAGAGATTAATTTACAGCTGGCTCCTAAGTCCGGCTCAGTTTTTCCCTTCACGTGGCAAAGACAGTGACATAAGTTTAGAGCAACAAATCACCAAAGTGCTGTTTATTTAAGGGCTTTCACTGATTGATACGTTGAACTCTCTGTGATTTATCTTTCAGAACAAAAGCGCCTGGCAGCCAAACAGAGGGAAGATGCTTGGGAGGGAAAGTGATGGGACAGACACCCCAAGGTCTTTTAAAGACTTTTGTTGTTCATCTTGTGCTCTGTTTTTCTTGACTGGCTACCACACTTCCCAGAAGGGGATTCCCACCGGTTCTTTTTTCTTCCTGCCACAGTCCTTCACTGACTGCTACTGAACATTTGACCACTCACTGTCTGTTATCCTGCGGTGTTACAGATGAGTGCAGCCTACCACCGTTTCCTCACCATTATCTTCATGCTTTGTTTGCCCAGGGACCCTTCTTTCACCTGGACTTGCCTTCAAATCTATAGTGAACACAGGGTCTAATCACTTGTAAAGGGTTACTATTTCATTGAAAGAAACATTTTCTGTTGAGATCTAATATCATGGCTGTTGTCTTTGTTAAAGCCTCTCTTTATCTCTTTGTGTTGCGTGGTCATCTGTGCACATGGTCAGTTAGAGGAGTCTTGTGGTAATGGTGATGATAATGTTGTCCAAGTTTTTAGTGGACATACTGATTTTTGTCCTCATGTTTTGAGTCATTTGCAGTTAAAGAACATGTATTTGGGTTTGTTTTGGGGGACACACCTTGGAGTGGTCCTACTTTATGTACCAGTATTTGGTACATGTTCTGTCCATGTCTATTTATTCTACCAATTGTATTTTAGTTACATTTGCTCTTTAACAAGTGTACTTTTCCCTTTTCATCACATTTGATGCTAGTACATTTGAAACTATATCCTGACAAGTCAGTAGTGTGGGGTCTAGTTAAAAGGCTACACCGTCACAGATGGAGCTGTTAAAGAGATACTATATTTCAGCTGCATACATTTTAATTTGTCATAGTGTCTTATTTTAGTGAAATAACCTGTTGAATAAGTAAAGAGAATTAACATAAGGCACAATCTCAACCACTTCAGTTGTAGTGATATTGTCATTCCAGTATTTCATCTATTGTCTAAGTAAATAGTGCAACACTGGGTTTACCACAACTCTTTCAAACTGCTTAAAATAAGAACAATTTTGGTCATTCTCACAGGCTGTTTTTTCATTCCTGGAAAGTTGAGATTTTGGACTTTATGAAGGTTCTTTTTTGAGAAAGACAAAGTTTTTTTTAATGCAACTTATCATTGAATTTAGTTCTGCAAATCAGAGTCAGCTTTCATTAATTCACTGCTACCTTCCTTAGACTCGCATGTTCAGACTGCAGACTCTGGAGCTTTGTTTTTGTACAACTGGAGGCAGCTGCACCCTGAGGCTTCACCCAGCCGACCACACAGTGGCACTGCATTGCATTCACCCTCTCAACCAATAATTGAATCTTCTTCTCCCAGATAGCAGAAAGAGCTGCAAACTTGTCATTTGTTCTCTTAGTGAATTTTTTTTTAATCAACTTTGAACTTAGCTTTGCTGATTGCTATTTGTGGAAAAGATTTACAGTACATGTCTGGGTGCCTAAATATTTAAAGACATTATGTTGCCTGCTGACAATTTAATGGGATTAATTATGTGATATTCTGTCCCGTCAGTACTAAATATCCAAATCAGTGCTGGCTAGTTTTGCTGTAAGGAGCTCAGGTTGTGTAAAATCATTGTCTGAGGGCGAGAGAGGCACAGTGCCATGTGGCTCGTAATGGGCTAATTAAGGTGCTTCAGCCTTAGGAGAGGCTCCATTACATTTTCACTTTTGTGTCCATTACTTTTTAATTCAGTAGTTCACAGTATGACAAATTCTGATTCATTCTTTCCTCAGATTCCTTGTTTCCAAAGATGTTTTTATACAGGAATTTCAGTGGGTTTAGCACAAGGAGTGATGACTTTATGGTGTTTTTAATCCAGCAATGTGCATCACACATACTCACACATCTCTAAAGTTTATGAAAATACATCTGACAGTATTTGTTTCATGTGTTTTTATGAGCACAAGGAAAAGAAAAAGCCTGGGCTGAGAATTTCAGTTTGTGAGAAAACTGTTAAATGGAGATGTGATTAAAACCAGTAACAGTCTTAAGCTGTATGTTATAGTGTGTTAACAGTGCTTGTGATCTATTATTTGGTAATAACTACATGCAATTTCCCAGAAACTTGAAGCGATGAGATTTAAATATACAGTAAAGAGGCAGAAAGGGAAATAGCTTAGTTATCTTACCACTTGTCTAAGTGAATATTATATGGTCATTTGACTGCTATACAGGTCTCTTATTCATTTAAATTATAAACATATCACTGTTTAGAGTTTGGAGAGAGATGGTGTAAATCTGTAACAGAACAATACTTGTATAAGTTTTGCATTTTCTTTTATGTCCAATCACCAAAATATTCTCTCTTCCATGACCTAAACAAATATGTTCTGTTGTTTTCTTATCATTTAAGCTTGTGATTGATGTTTTATATTTGTCTAGTGCTCAGATTATTCATTTTTTCTGATTCATTAAATCCCTTTTTCTTTTTACTGCCTATAGTTTTAAACCAGTGTAAAATAAAGACACATGTCATAGTGAGTCTGCTAGAACAGAAGTGGACCTCACTATGTATTATAGCTCCTCTTTGCCATCATTGTGTGAGATCTGAGCCTTACCCACAAATCTCATGCTTTACTTTGGCTTCACTAGAAGGTGATGTACCGCAGGGCAGCCTGCCGGGTGCCTCACACACAGTCATTGGAACAACTTGCTCTGTAGTGGTTCGTGTTTGTGTATTTAATCTAAGTGCAAACGCTGTCCTGTATGTGCTGCACATAAGCAGCGTTATGTCATGGAGCAAATGAAATGTGTGGCATTGTGCAAATGAAGGAATACTGTAACGTCCCACCACAATAAAGGGCTTTGGTGGTGAAGGGTGGTGTGTGTCCTAGCACCGGCATTGTCAGCAAACACACCTTACCTCAGCCTCCGCCCATTTTAAAATTTAAAACTGCTGCAAATGACACCATGAAATAGATTTACCACCTGAGCAATCAGTAGGGGCTTGGCAGTGTTAGTATTATTGCATTTAATTGTCAGGGACGGTGTTAAAAAACCTAAGCAAACAGAGTGTTGTACCAGATTTAGCTACCAGCTAATTTCCATCTGCAGTCCCTGGCCAGTAGCATTAGGCTACTATGGATGTCTAGAGAGGAAAAACAGACACAGTCCTATTCTAACAAGCAAAAAGGCCAATTGTTAAATCACACCTTTCCTCAAATGAATGCGCCTAGGGCTTTTGCTACACCCTTACTAAGTCTGGTTTGGCTTATGTTGAGTAATGTTAGCTAACTTTAGGTAAATATTGCTGTATCATGGACATTACAGTTTCAGTTTTCTGACTTTATGAATCTTCTCCACTTGTGATACAATTAGATTAACATGGCATTTTAGCTAAATGCAAACACAGGACTGAGTGCTAATCAATAGTTAAAAAGTTTAGCATCATCCTATACTTGCACTTGTAGCTGTAGTGACTAAAATAGTTTAGCTTTAATCATGGGACCAATGGCTTGAAACAGCCTAATGGTAAGGTTATCAACAGGTCTAGGTATGGTAATAAAATGATGTATTCAGGGACCCATTTGTCACTTTAGGATGGAGTAAGATTTGTTTTTAATAGGCCACAGATTAGTGATAGTTATTGTCAGAGTAACAGTGAACAGTAGCCGTCACACCGTGCTGCTGCCACTGCCACTGAAACTGAATTTTTGATGTTCATTTTGTTGATGTACTTTGTATAACTAAATTTGTCATCTTACTTGTAGAGCATGGAAGTTATATTATTCTCAAACTAGTAAAAGGGAAAAAAAGACTGAAGTAAGTTGCATAGCCTAGTATAGGCTATGTAAAGTGGGTAGCTGTGAGATTTTCCACTTATTGTATATGTTCAACAGTGGAATGAGTTCGGAAAGAACCATAAAACATGGGTTAGCTCAGGCTCCCTGGAGAAAGATGGGAAACTCAGTCACTGCTGGAACTTTAACCTCTTTCGATCTTTTTTAAAGTCTGCTGGAGAGCAATGGAGTCTGAACATTGCTGTGAACTGACTATCACACTGTATTAGCCCACCTGCCTAAACTGTCTAAGCTGCTCTTCGTTTACTAAATATCTAGGGGAATTGTTGCCTTTTAGCAAGTTATCAAATTCCCCAAATCTTCTGCTGGGATTGTAACATTAACCTTTATCTTTGTTTTGCATGAGAAAACCCTGCAGTCAAATAATCATGCCTCCAATAACCATAGAGTTTGTCAATTTGACATTTATTCTTCCACTACCATTACCATGTACTGTTAAAGGCGCCATACTGTGGTACAACCAGATCTCATCTGGCTGTACTGATATTAAACAGGTAAAGAACAAACAAGTGAAAATATTGACCATAATAAAATCAACAATACAAAACACAGCCACACAGGGACAAGTTTAAACTCAAAAGTACAGTAAACTTTTGCATAAATTAGAGACCTAAACAACATTATTCCAGAGAGGTAATATAAAACTATACATGACAATACATTTGCAATACATTACAATATTTATTCAAATAAGGCAAAATAGCACCACAAAATAAATTCTCATTCCAAAAAAGAAGAAAACAAAACCAAAAAACACACAGTTGGATCAGTAAACACTGGAATGTAATGTGATCAGTGAAAGCACAGGAAGCAAGTACATAGATTTGTTGACAGTCTGTGTTGATATTACATGGCCGACAGTCTGGTGATGTACTGTAATAGTAAAGGGTGTGTTGTTCTCATGTGCCTTCATGTCATTACTTTGTTAACTGTGGTTATGTTTTGATTAAGGGATTTTTTTTTTAGAAAGTTGTAAACTACTCTACGTTATATTATGGTGACATGAAGCTTCTTACAACCTACACTGGTCTTCCTCTTTCTACAGGCCTTCTTACATCTCTTTGACTTTCTAACAGGGGACAGTCACTGCTGATGACAATCCTGGGATCCTAATTAGTCATTTCTGTATGAAGCCCCTACATCCCTCTCAACCCATCCCAGTTTCCCACCCTCCTCCCTCTGGCCTTCATCTTTATATCTACTGGCATATATCATTGTCATTCACCCTTCCTCGCCTGATATGTTGAGGTGTGGTGAGGAGTTGTACAGTTGTTCTGTCCTTAAATCTGAATGATCCTTTATTCACAGAAAGTTGCTGGAGATCTGATGGTGGTGGTCAAACAAGTCCTCCACCTCAGCACTGTAAGCATCGCCTGATGAAAACAGACAAAGAAGAGAAGTGGGATACACAATAACAAATGGACAAGTGCTGAGGTTTTGAAAATCAGAGGATTCATGTGCATTGAAAAAAGTCCTCATATGTACCTGCGTGGCAACCAAACATGTAAATTCGTGCTCCGTCGTACTTGGCCCGACAGCGCATTACATTGTTCTGGAAATCAGACTCAGCCATGTCTAAGGAAGGGTTGACCTCCACCTATTCAAGAAGAGACACAAGAGATAATATGCTGAAGTAAATGCAGTCACAGTTCAGTAAAGCACCATTCTGATGGGACAGGATTATTAAAGGAACTGCGCTAAGTTGGTTCAAATCTTATTTATCAGAAAGATTTGAATTTGTTCATGTTAATGATGAATGTTCCACACAAACTGGTCAGTCACGGCGTTCCACAGGGCTCTGTGTTAGGTCCAATTCTCTTCACTTTATACATGCTCCCTTTAGGCAATATTATCAGGAAGCACAACATAAATTTCCATTGCTATGCAGATGATACTCAGTTATATTTATCTATGAAGCCAAATGAATCAGATCAGCTGGTCAAACTTCAAGCATGTCTTAAAGACATAAAGGCCTAGATGACCTGCAACTTCTTACTTCTAAACTCTGACAAAACCGAAGTTATTGTGCTTGGGCCTGAAAACCTTAGAAATCTGCTGTCTAATCATATAGTTACTTTAGATGACATAGCTCTTGCCTCCAGTACTACTGTGAGGAACCTTGGAGTCATCGTTGATCAGAATATGTCCTTTAAATCACACATAAACCAAGTCTCTAGAACTGCCTTCTTTCACCTGCGCAATATTGCAAAAATCAGGAGCATCCTGTCTCAAAGTGATGCTGAAAAACTGGTCCATGCATTTGTTACTTCCAGGCTGGACTACTGTAACTCTTTACTATAAGTATATCCCAATAATTCCCTAAAAAGCCTCCAGTTAATCCAAAATGCTGCAGCCAGAGGACTGACAGGAACGAGCAAGAGAGATCATATCTCTCCCATATTAGCTTCTCCCCACTGGCTCCCTGTAAAATTCAGAACAGAATTTAAAATCCTTCTCCTAACATACAAAGCCCTTAATGACAAGGCTCCATCATATCTTAAAGACCTCGTAGAGCCTTATCATCCTAACAAAGCACTTCCTAAGTACCTTCCCAAAGTGAGTAGCAACATGTCTGTACAGATTCTTAGTCATCCAGGTCATGGTAAGCTGAAAAAACGTAGAAAAAATCAACTGGTAGGTAGAAGATGTTTCATGTTCATTTTTGTCCAAATAGAACACCCCTCACTAAATGAGGGTGGTGGACTAAGACACAACTTTTCACCCATCTACAACTCTGTTTTGAGATCTCTGCCCAAACATGCCCACCAGGACAACAGGCGTCGGTCCACAGGTGAGGGTTCAAAGACAGGTAACGACGCTCACCAAAACCGGACCCTAATGATTGAGTTGTTAGAGGACATTGTGGGCCACCAAAGGACTGGAACACCCAGGGTGATAAATACCTCCTGCTCACCACCAGTTGGACAGAACTGATGAAGCCTCTTGGATGAGAGGTGAAAACCATTACACATCACTAACTTTGTGTCTCCTCTCTCCCATAGTGTGTCCTCTCTCTCTCCCTGTACCTTTCTGCAGGTTGCCCTGGCCTTGGAGCTCTACGTCTCTGATGAGCAGTCACCAGCCACATCGACCTGATCAGTGTTTGATTGTTGTGTCTTGTTGCTTTTCTTCTTTTGTCTCTCCTCTATCCACTCACCCCAACCGGTCGAGGCAGAAGGCCGCCCACCAAGAGCCGGGGTCTGTCGGAGGTTTCTTCCATTAAAGGGAGTTTTTCCTCCCCACTGTCGCCAAGTGCTTGCTCAAGGGGGATTTGTTGGGTTTTCCCTATGTAATAATATTGATAACAGTAAGGTCTAGACCTTACTTTGTAAAGCGTCCTGAGATTACTTTTGTTGTGATTTGGCGCTATACAAATAAAATTTTATTTGATTTGATTTCATGTGGCTTATCTGAGAAGCCTATTGTACTCCCCTTTTCTATATGGCTCATATAAACTGTGGATATAAGCGATGCATGACATCATTTTCCACTGTTATCACTATGCAGGGAAAAAGGCTCAGAGATGACAGATAACAGTTTTGGGTTTGCATTTAAGTTGCAGCCTATCATTAGGCTGCAGCCATGATTGGTTGTCATGGTTTGTTGTTTCCACCCTGTCTGTCTGCCTCCCATATACAAGAAAAGAACACAAATGAATTTTCCTGATGCACACATCAAACAGATAATCTGACCACATATTTAATAAAGCTACCCCGTTTCATCTTTTACATAGAGTATAAATTTTGTGGTTCTAGATTTTTATAGACAAAGTTTTTAAGATGTAAAATATTCATAATTATACCTTTGCATTAAATTCTAAGCAACATTTGGGGTCAAAACCTTCATATATTTCTTAGTAGTGCATGCTGGGAGCAGCAAATGATTTCAGCCCATATTTTATAGACCTGGTGTAAAACCCATATTATGTCAGTGGCAGTTGATGCCTGTTTAAAAGCTCTCATAAAGATGTGAAACAAAGGGCCCACAGCCTGCTTTACAGAACAATGAAAGGTTGTCACTATCATATAAAACTCTCTGAGCTTGGGCAGCAGATTTTTATATGATGGAGAAATCAGGAGTCCACCTCAGCTTGATTGCTGAGATGGATGTGACTCATCGCTTAAAATGTATGGTCCTAAAAATGGCTGCTACCCTGCGATTCTTGGGAAAGACTCAAAGAAACACCCAGCTGCATGACAGATGAGCAAGCATCCCTCAGCCTCTCACTTCTTACACAAATTTATGAGCAGCTCAACTACTGTTGCACCACAGTCATAACCACAAAGTACTGCTGGGTCACGTTGTCGTGGCAACACGTACGTGGTTTCATCTCTCAAGACGTGGCTTGTCATATGTGCACAGGCTCATGCAGCGCCACTCCTTCATGTAGTTTACATACAGTCCACACACACACACCATGCTCATCAAGCTTAAACATCTTGATTTCAGTCAAAAAAAAACTGAAATTGTAAACAGCTACTTAGCTGTCAGGTAAAAATAAAACAAATGACAGAGAAGGAGGACAGATGAGTAGGTCACCACAGCAACTTGGATGTCTAGAAGCAGACGAGACATGAACCAGTTCAGCCTTCTAACACAAAACTCGCTGTGTAGAAATGTAAAGTGCTGACAGAGGTTTTCCAATGCCAATAAGTCCCTACTTTCTGAAAGAGTGCACTAATAGCAGGTCTACTTTCTATATAAATCCAGACTCCATTCACTTTCCTTAAATACGCACACACCCTAAAACTACATACATACTGTACACCTGAAAGACTGGAAACACAACCAACAGTCATTTAGGTCAAATTACAGTCTGTTTTATCATAGCTTTTATCTCATGTGTGCCCTCAGATGTTGAAATAACAGCCCATTTTTGTGCTGTCATGCCAGATGTAAGAGTTTTGGAAATATCATTATGTTATTTCACCATGAAGATTGAGGTATGGATTACTAACAATTTCACAATGTACTGTATAATAGAAGCACTTTATGCTAGTAAGAAATGTCTGTAACAATAAACTGACCTGGAAAATGTATTCACCAGGTCGTACATCTGTGATGTCGACCCACTGGCAGTCGATGTCGTGGCGGTATGTGTCCCAGCAGCCCACTGAGATACCCTGCTCACCCATGTTATAGCAGGCATACCGCTTATAGAGACCTGGAGGTAAAAACAGTTGGAAACATATGAGGACAGTTAAAAAAGAATAATATGCTGTGTAAATTGTCTTCACTGTCGGCTGTTGTGGATTTGAATTTGTACCAACAGGCTGACATTCTAACAAAACGATTTAAAAACCAGATTTTATTTTGGGTACATTCAAATGAATAGAAAGGATCTACGCTGCGTAAAGCTGCCTGGGCTTTGTGAAGCCAAGAAAAATATAGGCTTGGCTTCTGATCTTACAGCAGACTTTGAATGCTCATTATGGGATTTCTGGGTTGCACATTTATTTGTGCATTTTTGATTCTCTTGTTTGTCACAGTGCTGCTCTTGTTTCCAGATTTCCCTCAACAAGCAGACTGATGCAGCTTTAATCTGTAAGGCGTCTCACCATCGGGGCAGTAGGTGTCCTCCAGACAGAAACTGGCTTTGTGACCTTCAGCCACCTTGGTACCATTGAAGGTCAGCAGATCATAGTGGGTGAACACCTCAATGCTGTGGTAGTGCCTGAGAGTGGGGCAAGGATGTTATGGTTAATACATGAAGGAGGCAAAAATGGTTCGAGAAAGAAACTGAGAATGATCTGTAATGACTTCACTGCTGTTTTTGTTCACTAGTGTCATGTACATCACTGAAATACAGCTGACATAAATCATGTTATGTTGTTGCAAAAGTGTCAAAGAAACACCTGCAGTACGTATAAAAACACAAGTTGGCAGACAGACATCAGCTGAATGTTGCTCTTTCTCTCAATACAGAACTGTTCCCAGAACAGACTCTACCAAAGCTGCAAGTCAAACCATGTGATTGCTGGTTGGAGGAGGTAGTGATTGGGTTGCGGCTGGGGAGAGACACTAAGTTGTGCCTCTGGTTTTGGGACACAGAACCACAACCGCTGAGATAAGAAGCCAGGCTGCTCTGAGTGCAGTCACGGCCCTGACTGTAACAACTGGGTGACCATGAGGAGGATGTTTATTGTAAACATCATTTTGGAGGATAAAAGATTGTGTTTATTGCGTTAAATAACAGATTCTTACGTGTGCTTGGTTATTTATAGTCCAGATCTCAAAAATAACACTGCACTGCCCTTGGTGATCCTTCTCTCACCAAATCTTAAATTTCCATTCATTTTTTGCTACATTTATTTTTTTCCACCTCTTGTAGCAACTGCGTTTTTTGTAAAATGCATCTTTTACTTCATAATGATGGCCATTGCTGTGCCATGGAGGAGGTTGTGCAGCCTTGGTTTCCCACCCAAACTCTGCAGCAGCTAAAATCACCACAGTTACTCTTTACCTGATTGAAGGTATAACACGAACAGCTGATGGTTCAAATGAAAACCTTAAAGTGCCACTAAGTGATACAGTGGCTTGGAGGAAACACTAAGAATTTCTGGTTCAGGAACTTTTCTCTTCTCATCTTCCCAGTCTTACCTGTGACACTGGTGCCACACCCAGCTTTCTCTGGAGGCCCGGGGCCGGAAGTCAGCAAGACCCAGGTTCATAATGCGGGAGGAGAAGCGCAGCAGGCGGCGGTGTCCGTAGGGCCAGCTCATCCTGGCGGCAGAGGAGGACAAACAGTTCTCCTCATTGGCGCAGGTCAGTAGGTGGAGTGGTCGGTCCTCCAGGTAGGCTGTCTCTTGGACCAGCTGGGCATCCAGCACAAGATCGGGAGCAGCTGCATAAGACTCACAATTTACTCTCAGTCATCGCACAACAAATACAAATATGGATTTAAGTGTTTGCTGATTTTGGACTCACTTTCTACACACGTGACTCCTGCAGCCCTGCCATCGCCTCCTCTGGGACAGTACACATGTGTGTTTCTGCGGCAGTGCTGGAGAGACATCTCAGTGCCAATGCAGTGAGTGCCACTCAGCACCACCTCTGCAGCATCTGGAGAACCAGGCCAGTACCAGGTCTCCTGCACAGACACACAAGAAGGGACGTATTCACGCAGCTCAATTGTGCCTTTCTTTAAAACAGTTCTGGAAAAAATGTCAGAGCTGAATGCAAATAGCAGCCTCTGCTATAAGCAACACCCCACTTTATAGGAAGTATCAGTACACATTAGCACATTTTCCATTCTTTTTCAGGATTTTAAAAGTGCCTGTTAAATGTTCCCAGCAGCCCCCTTCAAAACACACTCACTCTGCCCTTTCCATGCACAGTTCTATTTTCGGTTGTTTGCTCTGTGAAATTCTCCCAATCTCTCTTCACCTCACTTTCCCTCTTTTATTTTCAGTGCACTGGAAGTGGACGTTTGGGAAGCCTGTAATTACCCGAGGCCTTGGTAATAATACAGCACAGACCCAAACAGCAGGACGGAGAGAAAGAGCAGGAAATGTAGGCAAAAGCTTAGAAGCAGAAGAGGAGAGAGTGAAGAGAAAACATGCAAAAACCACATCAACATATTGTCTTCTGTTGCTTACCTGATGAGCTCTTGCGGCAAAGCCTAGGCCCAGCTGTCGACAGACCACCATGGCCTCGTTGATGCCCCAGTTTTCGCTGCACACAGAGCCCCAACGCTTTGCTCCTCCGACCTCCATCAACACCTCTACACGGCCCTCTGCTGGCTCTCTGCCTCCTGCCAGACGCACCTGAACGCAGAGACAGGAAAAAGTGTTTTCTTGTGAGCGATACTGCTTAGAGTCTGTCTGTGAATATGCTGTCATGTTTTTGTGTGAGCTTCTCACTGTGGCCTGCATGCCAGTGTTGGGCACATTGCAGCGGACTGCTACATCCTGGTTGTGTTTGCAGCTGTAAAGTGGCACTGGTCTGTAGTGACACTCTGTAATCGATTTCTCCCTTCCTGTGCACTGGACACTGTTCATGTGGATGGGACCGGTACCTACAGAAAAGGGTGTGGAGCATCAGTTCACTGATCTCCATGTGGGCAAAGACACACACATACACTACATAAAAGTCTATACAACTTGATGGCTCTGCAGCCACACATGTCCCCTGAGAGAGATTAAAAGCCCAGGCATGACTGAGACCTCTGACGTGGCCCTAAAATTAAACTTAGCCAGAGAGCTTTATTATTTTATTGTACACTCTGTACTGCACACCAGGGACATGCTTTATAAACCAAAATAGATACAAAATGTGTGTGTGAGGCCACGGCTTAAGGCCTAAAAAGCCCTATAATTTGGCCTTAAATAGCTAATGATGTCATCAACTCTAGCTTCAAGTTCTGTGCCTGCGCCACCCATGAGCCTTCACACATCTCCTGTAATGCTCAGATTAATCTCTAATATGTTATACACCAATCAGCCATAACATTATGACCACAGAGAGGTGAAGTGAACAACACTGATGATCTTGTTACAGTGGCACCTGTCACTGTGTGGGGTGTATTACGCAGCAAGTGAACATTCGGTCCTTGAAGTTGATGTGTTGGAAGCAGGAAAAATGGGCAGCGTAAGGATCTGAGTGACTTTGCCAAGGACCAAACTGTGATGGTGAGATGACTGGGTCAGAGCATCTCCCACACTGCAGGTCTTGGTGGGTGTTCTTGGTCTGCAGTGGTTAGTACCTACCAACAGTATCTAAGGAAGGACAGATGGTGAACTGGAGACAGGGTCATGGACGCCCACAGCTCACTGATGATGAGGATGACCTACTGTAGATTAGACTTTTAACTTCCATTTGTACTTTTTAAAAGATTAATATTTAATTGAATCTTTGTTAAACTGGTTGAAAATGAGAAATATTGTACATTGGTCTCTGAAGAGAAAGAGTCAGGGGCTGTAGTAGTGATATCACACCTAGAGCGGTGAGGCTGTTGGATTTGTCTCAACAATTCTCTCTAACATCCTCACGACTGCAATTTTCACTCCTTTTACATAAGTTTTTCACTGAATTGTAGACACATCTGTGCTCTTCCTGACAGTAGAACTGTGGAAGCAAATGGATTCACAGAAGATGCACAGTGAGCTGCAGAGTGACACGAGTGCCGACCAACTGCCACATTGACTCCTATGTAAACTGAATTAGACAGGTGGTCATAATATTATGGCTGATCAATGTATGTTCACACAACTCTGGGAAATGGTCCCTGGGCATTAAAAGCCACAATGCTACTTTCTAACATGTTCATTATTCACGCATTACAGCACCACCGCCCTAAAAGTAATGCTGAAATGGTTTTTAAGAATTAGTTCATTAAGTAAAGTAGACACAAGGAAATGCACACACCATTATTAGAGCTATGTGGTCATTTGAGCAGAAAGATAAAGGGAAGAAATGAATGTGATTGTTGAGTTACTGCAGAGGTGCAGCGGGGGAAAAAAAGGGGTCTGTGCTATTTCCTAGGAAAATGTTTCACTGTATTATTGCTCAACAATTTAGTGGCCATATTTTCACGCCCACAACAAAGGCAGTACCAAAATAATCCAAATAATAGTCTTTCTGAATGTTTGATCGTGCACAGTGCTGATTACTTGACATCCTGGTTTTCAAAGCTGTGCTGACTTTTCACATACAACACGTTTATTTTGACAACACATGCCATTGTTGGTCGCTGTAACCTTCTAGCATAGTTTATACTTGTATAATTGGTCATGGGTCGAGTTCCTCAACAATCAGTTTCTCTGATAGAAGTAGAAGTGAGGCTGTAAACATTTTCCCTGCGTTTATTTGTCTGCTCAGAGCCACGAATTTTGGAGCACCGCCTTTAGCAACAGGCATTTAGTGTTTAGTCTAAAGGATCACTGAGTTAAACTGATCCTGCTCAGGTTGCACGCTGAACTGATTCAAGGTCAGCGCCGTTATCACATAACTGATAACCAGATCAGTTGTGAGGGGTCTTTATTATACTCTTTAGACCCGGTTATAGTTTAATCAGGCAAAAGTTACGATGAGTAAAGCTAAATGTCCCTTTAAGCAGCACACTGTGTACACTACAGTACATGTGTGACTATGGTTATATGCATTCTACCCTACCCTGTCCCAGCCGAGCCTTGGTGAGGGCCTCCTTGGCTGTCCCGAAGCCCAGCTCCCTACAGACCACGCTGGCTGCAGTGATGTCCCACAGATGGTCACACACGGTGCCCCACTTGCCCTCTATCAGCACCTCAACACGGCCCTCCCCAAGCCGAGGCCCTCCCTTCAGACGAGCAACAGGCTGGAGGGAAGAAGGGAGAGTTTAAAAGGGAGAGAGAGCTAAAAGAAGTTTATGACTTGCCCTGGAAATGTTAGACATTTTAAGCCTGTCTAGTGCTTAGCTGCATTAAACTGTCTTGTGTCTTGTCTACTATGAAATGGTCTTCTTGCTGTCACCTCACAGCAAGAAGGTCCCGGATTTGAGCCCCAGCTGACCTAAGCTAAGCTAAGTTGCGCTAACTGTCTCTTGGTTGTACTGTATTTTTATGTATAGCCAACAGGAGAGTGCTATTTTTCTTCTTATCTTATTCAAACACGTGTATTTTCTGCAATATCAAACGGTTCCTTTAATTTTAACATACTGCTTTATAATTATTCGTTTTTGACTTCCTCCTCCAGACTGACCGGCACAGCAGGTGGTGCAGGAGCTCTCCCATAGCGTGTGAACTGGGATCCTGGGACACAGCGGACTACAGCATGCATGCCGCCCCTGCATGGGACGTCGCTCCTGGGGAGGGACAGCTGGGCCTGGCAATGTGACAGTGAGGTCTCCACACCCTGACACTGCACTTTCTCCACCCAGTAGGCCTTTTTACTGATCTGTGTTCTTAGTCTGGGTTGGAGAGAAAAAAAAAACTGAATTCACAGGGCAAATGCATGATTGTCATAATGCATAAGATTGACAGTTATTATGTTAAAAGAGTGCTTATGCTGGTTTTACCTGGAGGATGGATCAGCCAGCTTTGAGTCCCACAGTTTCCTAAAAGACAAAAAGCATCATATCACATCGCATTTACATCGAATATACTAAACACCCTGCTAATGCACTCCCACAGTCGCCTCCTGTGCACCTCCCTCCTGCCTTGTCTCCTCTTTCCTCCATAGTCATTTGCTGTCTCTTCCCTGGCATCCCTACTCTTCCATTCTGTCTACCTGAACCCTGAATAAACACACATTAAAAACTGTAAATATAAAGGAGACACAACATGCTGGAAAGGGCGTGTGTGCTTATAGATAAACATAGGCTCCACATACAACACTTAGACTTACAATGATGGATCACATACATTCCTTACTGTATTTTTCTTTTTCTCTCCTGAATCACCACCTTCCTGTCATTGCTTTTTTAGCTCTTCCATTTCAGTGTTTGTCTATATGTCTACAGTGGATGCCGGGAATCCATGTGGAAAAAAATCTAAAAATATGAATAAACCATGATAGCCATTAATTCCTATGAGAAGCTGTTTTCTGCCAAACACAGCAGGGTTTTCTATAAGCTGTGTCTCATGCATCTCGTTTCATGGGTATTACCTTAAACTAGAGTCAAATTCTAAAGGGAAACTGTGTATACACGAAACGATCCCCCCGACACCAGGGCTAAAATAAAACAAAAGTGAGAATTCAGTAAAAGAATGATTCACAAACCAGGCAGAGTCTGGGAAGTGTCCCTCTGTGACACACAGACACGTGCATTAGAGCTGACCACTTGCATCAGCAAGTGTGACCACAGACAGGTGCAGCATGACTGACACCCTTCATGAATGTACCTGAATTAAATGAGTCCAAACACCAAGTATAGACCAGACTAGAGTTTACCGTACAGTCAGATTCATGATGCAATCAAATATTTGGCTAAAACTAAAATGGGAGATGTTTCCTCTCCAGGAGAACCCCAGCACTTTACAGGTTATTATCCCCAGTCCCACCATTAGAGGAGAAATGTGTGCGAGGGTGGAAACCCACAATGAATACCCTGAGCTCAAGAAACTACTGGATGGAACACCACAACTCACCCAAGAGCAGGCTGAGCAGAGAAGGGCAAACAACATATATAAATTATGATTTCTTTCACAGTAAAATTTCCGTTTTCATACAAGCATATTATTATTTTAGATTTCTGCTGCAACCCAGCAGTAAAGAGATGTAATTTAGACAACCAGACTGCTGGCCTCATCTTCTTCTTCTACAATGAACAGACTCAAAGTGGTGAAATCTGCAAAGAATAAATCCTTGATTCTCTCTGCATTGTAGTTGAAAAGGAAATATCCTAAAATAATCTTTAAACTCTTTTTAAGATGATATGGCAAACATGTTAGCAAACAGTTGCTACTTTTCCAGCAGTTACAGAGTAACATGATCATGTTTCTGGCCACAAATATAATGCTCACTTTCTTTTAGCTCTATTTTTGGTCTCTACCAGTTCCTGAGGGAAATATATGACTCTTTAGCTTCTAAATACGCCACTATGTTTATCAGCTAGTTGCTAATGTCTGTGTGTTGTTTGGGGCACTGTACAGTGGGGATGTAACTCTGATGAAAGTTGTGAGGGTAAACCTCAATAGTGACACTGTCCCTCATGAAAACAATGAGCTGAGAAAGTGCAGAGGTGGGTGACAATTCTCTGTAGGTTGAACAAACACACTACACATATTCATTTAGCTTGTAATTACCATAAATATATAGTTTAGTGCAGCTCTAAGTTCCAATTTTAAGCATCTTCACATTATTGTATGCTTTATAGAAAAATGTTGTCACTTTATATAGTTATAGCTAGCTGCAAAATTTTGAGATAAAACACTACAGTTACTATATTTCCTTATTTCTCTCTGCTTTATACAGTATGTCTTGCCTCTAGCCTTATTTACTCCTGTAGCTTCCATTAAGCCACTTTCCTTTCTTTGTTCGTTCTCTTTATCTCTTTCCTCTTTGTTCCTTCTTCCCCTTATATGATTTACTTTTCCTACTTTGTTTCTTTTCTCTCTCCTCCTTTTTCATTCTTCTTCTTTCCTTCTCTCTGTCTTTCTTTTCTTAGCTTATTCACTTAACCTGACAGTTACTAGAAGCAGGTATAATAGGAATGCTTTTGCCTCTGTGTGTTAGTAGGACACATACATAGTGTATACAGTAAACGACCAAACTGGTGTAGAAACACAGCCGGCTTTTGAGAATAAATCTCTTGTTATGTTGATAAAGTGTGGAAGATCCAATTGCTTTTTTGTGTGCTGTAAATGAGGATATGTATGTGTGAACTGTGCCAGATAATATGTGTTTATTTATCTGCTTGTGTGTATGTACATGTGTGTTTGCAGTTTAAAAGTTTCAGTGGTAAATCAAAATAAGTGAGACAGACAATAAGGCGGTGTTAGATCATGGTTTAGAGGAGGGTGAGGAGGGTGAGGAGGTTGCTAACCATATTATTGCCTTTTTTGCTTGGCAGTGTCTGCTGTACTCAAGCAGTAGCATGTTGGTTCATGCACAGTGGACATGGAAATAGTCACGTAGCCTACATATCAACATTCTCTACTATGTCTCTGTACAAACAACACACCTTAAACCCCTGGTGTCATAACCCAGTGCTATGTCTACATGCTGGGAAGCACTGCAGGTGATGGATTCTCTATGAGCTCTAAATACTCTGCACAATGCTTTTTGTCCAGTCAGAGACACAGGTTGGCGCTGAGTAATGTTCTCTCAGTCTAATAAGGTGATTCAAATGAAGCAAACTGAACCACAGCATCGAGCCTCAACACAACAGACAGGCTGTGACCGCAGCACCTCGGCCGAAGCCTTTTAACCACGAGAAGACTTTCTCACTTCTCAGGATCTTCAGTTCAATCCCAGGTTTTTTACACAACTCTGACCACACAATACCATAAACCACACTGGAGAGAGCTGACTGTCAGGAAAGCAAAAATAACCTGTTATTATACTGCATGAATGCAAAACTGCCTGACTGGAACAATCAGCTCACTCAGGAGACAGCAGGTTGCCACAATGACTCCAAAACAGCCTGTTAGACATCTTATCAACTTCCATGGAATGAAAACTCAAAGGGGTCATAATGATGAAATGTGGGTTTTATTATAATTACCACAAATGTATTAAACATGGCCTTAAAAAGGCAGAAACTAAAGAGGGGAGAAATGAGAAACAGGATGAAAATAAATGAGATCTGAAAAGTTAGTCAGCCTCAAAGAGCATGGATGTGATAATAAAAGAGAGCTGGAAATTGCCTTTTGCAAGTGTAGCTAAGTAAGGGGATATTTAAACATCTGAAAAACACATTGAAGAACTTAACCAGCAGAGACAAAGGCAGCCACACTGAAAAAACCAACCGCATAGCCGTAGAACGAACTGCTGACACAGCAGAAGGATTGCAGCAGGTCAGTCGAGACTGGAAGGTCTCTCAGACCATAATTAAAGCTGTTCAAGTGGACACATGCCCCAAAGAAGGGCAGGCATGGAGCACTGTCAGCACAACGGGTAGCACCAGGCAGATGTCATGTGACTACTGTCATGGTGAAGAACACCTACTGTCACTTTTTTGCTGTTGTGTGTGAGATATACGACAGTTTCAACCTTCAACTTCAATTTCAAACATTTTCATAGGGCAGTAAAAGTCATAGAGTGATCTTTGCACACCTGTATTCAGCAGCGGTGGAAGAAGTACTCAAATTTTTTACCCATGTAAAAGTAGCAATACCACAGTATAAAAAATATTCTGTTACAGGTAAAAGTCCTGGATTCAAAAGTTCCTTAAGTAAAAGTACAAAAGTATTAGCATCAAAATACACTTAAAGTACCAAAAGTACTTGATGTCTATTATATTATGAAATGAGTGAAAATCTCAGTGAAATCAGAATCTCTTGGGTGTTGGTGAGTGGCATGTACAAAGTGTAATGACAATCCTTCTAAAAGCTGTTGCAATATTTCAGTCTGAACCAAAATGGTGCGCAGACTGACACTGGCATCCTCAGAGTCAAACAGTTAGAGGGGCTAAAATGCCTTCTGTCACTAAGTAGGATAGCTTTGACACAATTTCTAGAGGAAACATTTTCAAAAGCACCAGACCATCAGACTTGAGAAAAAAAAAGCATGCTGTTCCCCTCAGCTGTTTACCACTGGACAAAAATGAATGCACCATTCACCTCTCATGTAGCTGTGTGGAGGCTGATAAAAAAACAAACAACATTCTCTGGCCTGGTCCAGTCTTTATACAAGCTGCCGGCCGGCTCTTGGCATGGGATATAATGTTTCTTCAGGCAAAAGTGAGATATTTTTAAGTGTCGTTGTCTACATTAGATTTATAAAGTTAGCTTGATTAACACCTTTGCTCCATTTTTGTCTTGAAAGGTCTCGTCAACCTAAAGGAAGCACCCACTGAGGACAATAAGGGTAAAAAAATACATTGATCACAACAATAATGTACATTGCATCTGATGTTCACAGCTCTGAAGAAGCCATAAGAGACTATGGGACAGAGATGTTCATTGCGAGGTTATGGCCGTGGTGCTGAACAGGGCAGCTGAGGAGAAGCAGCCTACAGTCTCCTGCTGAGCAAAGCAGGACACAAGGGGTAATTATTGGCGACATGGACAGACAGACGGTGCAGGGCAGGCCAGCGTAGCCATAAAAAGACCTCTGTGGGCAGGCAGACAGACACACAGAGGGCTGTGTTTGCATATGCACAAAAATGTGTTTGCTAGTTTATTTGTGTGTGTGCACATGGATCTTGGACGTTCTTTTTGTAAAGCCTTGTAACAGGCTGTATGATGACGATGGATGGAGGGATGTATTAGCATGTTTGTGTGTAACTCCTGAGGTATTGGGGTTTTGATGGAATGTGTGAAAGGTCTGTGAAGGTTTGTGTAGGTGCTTCAGTCAGTATTTATGGCTAAAGTAAACAGATTACTTGAATTTATGGAGGTAAAATCAACACTGGCAATATTAACATAGTGAATGATTTGTATTTGAGGGACAATAAAATAGTTATGAAAACATAAAACAAATAGAGCTGAATTCCTGCCTCTTCTTTAAGTGGCTTCTCTCATACAGTCTTTCTGAAAAGCTGAAACATGTTTCTGAGGTTTTCTGTCTACATGCTCTACTACCAGTATAAAACCTATATAACCAGTTTTAAATGTCCATTAACAGATTTTTGACATGTTAACAGATACATGCAGCTGATGTGGAGACACTTGATAAATTTACATCTAATATTTACCTTTTTTGAAGTTTTGGTTTCCTCCAAACTCCTGAATATCTGGCTCTTTAGTGGTAAAGTCCTTTTCCTTAACTTTTAATAAGTTGTTGGAGCATTTCTGTGGAAAAACAGCTACCTGCTGTGTCTGACAATGAGGAATGAGTAGTAAGGGATTATGTTTTGTTACTTTGATAACAGGGACGGCTTGTTTGCGGTCTTACTGAGAGTTTAATGGAGGGTTTATATCAGTTTGGTCTCTTTGTGTTCACTGGGCAGGCTGATCCAGGATATGGTTGAGGTGCAGGGTAGGTGGTAGCCTTTACTAAAAGGGGAGAACTGTGGCTGCAGGTAATTCCAAAGTTGTCTTATTTAAATATTGTGTGTATTCTGATGTGCCAAATGTTAGCCACACTCACGTGTACATTCAGGACTCATTTCGTTTTTAGAGTTGGAAGGTGTGTCACCACTTCTGAGGTACTTCTGGGCTGCTGTGTGCTAAACTAGCTGCTGGATGGTCAGTACTGCCTGTATGTAAAACTGCAACATCTTGTTTGCTTTGTCTGTGTATTAAATACAAAAGATGTAACACATGGGTTTGAAGCAGGGGTTTTCAACTAATTGTGATCCAGGGACAAACATTCTAATTATGAAATAACCTGAGTACCACTGCTGTGGGGTGGACAGAGTGTAACAAAATAGATTCCTACAGTGAAACTAGATCACTGAATGCATGGTCAGGGACCACCTGCGATGCTTTTGCAGACCACTGGGGGGGGTGCGGACCACTGGTTGAAAACCCCTGGTTTGGAGGATCTGAATTTTTAAAGGCACCTTTGATGGTGTTGACAACTGAGTAACAATTAATGAAGCACATTATTTTTGCTAATTATTAATTAGTAGAGTAATTACATTCCCTTTTAATGAGTAATGTGCCATGAGCACTTATTTACAGCTTTCATATAACTTTCCTATCACAGCTGATTATAGCAGCATTAAAATAGGGACAGAAAATTATAGGAGCCACTTTTCAGAAAAACAAATAAAAGGGAACCTGATGATAGCAGAAAAGACGCCATCAAGAGCCAGAAATGTGAGATTTAATTTGATTTCTTCTTGTTGCCTCCATGGTGGATAGTGAAGTTCAACAGAAGTGAATCCTTAAACGTTCCACTGCATCAGAAAGTGCCACAGGGAGTCTCTTAATTATAGGAGATTAAAAACTATGTAACAGAGGATTCTTGTAAAGATACACACCGTGATGATGATGATCATCTTACAGTCTGGATCTGACATTAATAATATACTTTTTGGGGCTATTTTAAAAATTTGTGCAAAGCCCCACTCAGCCACTGAGGCTTGTTGAACAGCCAGGTTCGGTTAATGCTACACTGGACCTGTCGTGCCAACTTAGTGTACTTGTACTAATGACAGCAGTTGTGGTTAGCCTCTACTGCTGAGGGATGGAAGAGTAATCCATGCATGAGGCCACCTAATCCCTGAAGGGATTTGTAGTCCACGTTTTTCCATCCCTTTTGTAATCACATACACACACAGAGGCACTTAGGCGATCTCTTTTTATCTCTGTCCTCCTCTGTCACTCTGCCGTGTCCACTCTCACATACTCACCTGTAGGCGTTCTGGTCAAACGCTTCTGCAGCAGGGAATCCTAACATGCCACAGACAACACGGCTGCTGCTCAGGTCCCATCCATGGCTACACACATGACGCCACTTCCCAGCATGCTTCAATTCCAGAACCCCCTCTGTCACCAGACCGCCATGGTTGCTGGACAGCACAGGCCGCAGCCGAGCCTCTTCCAAACGAACA